ATATATATATATATATATATATATATATATATATATATATATATATATATATATATATATATATATATATATATATACATACTTAAATTTTTAAATATATATATATACACAGAGAGAGAGAGAGGGCGGTCGGCCAACTGAAGTGTGTGTTGACCCGATATTTATAACACAGCATACTACTACGGTGCACCAGCTACATGTCTCTTATACTGTTATGCTTAACATGCTATCTTATCCTTGACATACTACATATAGGGCACACATTAACAGTGACGGTATTACTATTTACTTCTTATCTCAATCTGAATCATGGCATGGCTAAGGCTAACCCTAACTTATTTGGCTAATAACTTAATCAGTAATAAATATGTGATCTCCTAACTAAGCAAAGGCTAATGTCTATACTATTAAAATTTATGAGCCTGCACAACTACTAATTATGATTCCAATAAAAAATATTTAAAAACTTTTTCAAAAAGACTTTCTATAAAAGATGAGTTTAAATGCACTAAAAAGTAGAAAATAATTTAAAATTTCTAAAAATGAATGACGCAGATAAAGACAGTGCAGAAGTGTAAATGGGCACTCTATGAAGCCAAAGGATTTGAATTAAATGTAGAAGAAAAGTAAATGTTTATTTTTTTTTTAAAATATTCTGCACACTTTCTTTCAACCACCATAATTTGAGTGACAGTGTCAACCTGCCTCTGTCTAGCCAGTTTTCCAGCCATTCACCAGGTGAAGACTGAACGAGAAAGTCTTAAAATGCCACAATTGTAAACAGATTAGACTCAACACATAAGATTACGCTATATGGAAATCTGAGTAAAGAGAAAGTCTGTAATAATAAGTTTGAGCAATGCAAAGAGATTGCGCCATGTTTGTTAAGATTCTGTTTTGGATTAACTCCCCTTGTTTTGTTACTTGAATTTTTCCTTTAATATGATGATGGAATGTTTTGAATTAAATTTTTATTGCTTGATTAATTATAATTTTACATTTTCATTGGTTTGGTAATTATAATCTTTTAATTTTCGGCCATAATGAAAATGGATTTGGTATTGACGGCATTGTATTTTATTAATTTTCTGGATATTCTTTTCGGTGGAACCTGAAATAAAGTGTGTAAAAGTGTATTCTATGAAACTTTAAGTGGCTTTTCATTATTTTATAATTATTTTGTGTGCACTGGCTGAAATTATGAGATGAAAGGGAGCGACAGCAGGTCGTTGTCAACGACGTTGACGCCTCTTGCCGCATATCTAGAGGGATACAATAAAGATAAAGTAGTAATAAATAAAGTTCACGATGAAATTTATGTGACTACACGGAACGTGGCAACCAAGCTTGTGGCCATGTGACTAGTCCTGATCATATCATATTAATAATTAATTTTTAAAATGTGATAGTTTAAGTTTAAAGTTAAAATATCATAGGAGATAATTTTAACTGATAATTGAAAGGGAAATTCGGACTTGAAAAATTGTTCACTTCATTAACTTTTAGAGTTGACCATGACTTAATCAATGACCAATGAATGAAATGTGGTACTTGTAGCATCAGTAGCCAGTGTTATAAGTTATTTATAATAATAATAAGTTATAGTATAGTACGTAAGTCAGTTACTCAACTGTCTTAAACTTAATGGTAGGGGCATCATTTCAGGGGGTTTTTTGAGGGTGAACCAAAAATTGGTCCGCTTGTTAAGTTGTTTAAGTTTATTACTGGAGGCCCACAGTGCATACTAATGAATAAAATGATACTGCTGCATAGCAATTTAATTAAATAACTGCAAATTGGGGGGGGGGGGGGGCAAATGCCCCACACTGCCCTACCCAATTAATTAAGTCTTAATTACTTAAAACTTTATATTAATAATATTAATATTATGCTTTAAACATTATAAAAATAAAAGGTAAAGTAAAGTAAGTTGATTGGGAAGGGGGGGGGGGGTCATGGACGGAAATCAGATTTTAGACTCAAACTCCAAGAATTCAGACTATTACCTCCAAGATTCGTTATCTCACTATGACGGATGAGCCAAATTAAAATTGTTTAGATTGCGGCTCGACGATGCTTCCTTTAATTTACCGGCTAATTTAATGTCTTATCGGTACGGTAACACTATTTTGATAGCATCTGGTAATGGCCCTGGTCTGGTGACCTCTGATCTTTAACTTTATACTTTTTTTTTAGATGTCGTAATGGTGATTTAATAAGCTACCTTGGTTTTTAATTTTTACTTATATTTTCGTTGAAAATTTTAAGAGGCATTTGTGTAGATTCGTCGAACCTGCATATTCTAAAATAGAATATTTCAAATAAGTTTAAAACATGCTTGTAAATAAATTAAACATGTGCAACTTTACGACAAATGACTGATGCAAGTAAACGCAAACCCAAGAAAAAAGAAGAAAACCCGATTACATTTTAAACCTATGTCTATAGTCTATATGCCAAAAGTGAATAGTGAAGACAAGATATTGATGTTTTAAGCCTATAATAGACTAATAATTTAATAATAGCAACTGAATATTTAATACGTTGACAGGGAAATAAATCAAAGGACAGGTGACGGACATTTCAGTCAACGTTCTTAGCATACGTTTGTGAAAAAGCATTTCTTGGCCCGGCCTTACTAATACTTACTTACTTAGTTACTACTTGCTTAATTAATATCTGTTCAACTGTGAACCTGTTGTCGTGAAAGTGTAGTAAGTGAAGACTAAAACTAAGTCTTTAAAGAGTGTAAAGTCTAATTTGTAAGACGGTCCGTTAAGGGCAAGGCCTTAAACCTTAATTTTAATAATAAATTAAGAGGTTAAATATTAAACTTAATAATATAATTAATAGACAATTGTTTAATATATCGAATAAAATTTTTTAATGAATTAGTTTCATCATTAACATTATCATATTATCATCATTGATGATTTTATTTGAGTAATTTTTATTTATATTTTTTTTTTTATTCAAAATCATTCAATACATATACAGAGTAAAACTAAAATAAAAACAAGCAAATTTTCTGAAGTTTGAACTGAACAAAATGTTAAAATTATAATAGTGTGTACTAAATTGAACATTTGTGTAAATTATTTACTAATTTTTTAAACATGATCTAAATGAGTTTGAATGATAAACAATGAATGTATTATTTTTTCATAATAATTTCTTAACATATTGTTTTGAATTATGTTTTTTATTTTAAATCTAAAAAAAAGAGTTTCTAATGTAATGTTTGTGTAATTATGTTTGTGGAAAAAAGCCTTAAGTCTGTGGTGCCATACATGTTTTCTGTATTGTGAAAGTAGTAATAGACTTATTCTATTTATAATTACATGCGTTCAATTTTATAAATAAAAAAGACGACTAGTATTAGCATTTTATAAATATAATAATTGATTTAATTAGATTAGGGTTGGGTAGGCTTACATTATTTATATATCATAAACTATGAATGATGAATGAATTGAATGTATAAATTATAAATATGTATTAACTGTATTAGTATTAATAATTAATTATAGTATCGTTATAGACATACTGCATTCTTACTAATTGACTAGTAATTTCTAGTCCTAGAAGACAAATGATTGATTAAGTTCATGATTAAGATTATTTATTGCCAATAGCTTCCAATTCTAGGGAGTTATTTGTAGTATATTATAAGTAAACTACCAAAGTATTGCCCCATCATTTTATTACTAGTTTGTACTAGTCTATTTACATCACCTTGTTGTCTCAATAATGTTTCCCGAAAGAAATTGAGCTTTAAATTTAAATTGCTAGTTTGATACTTTCAAAGATTCTGGAAATGCCATCAAAGCTTTTAAGATTTTAAATCACCAAACAAACCCAAAACCTGCGTTAGTAGTTAGTTGCCCCATCTACTGTGATTCTCAAATAACTAAACTATCCAAATTATCGCCAATTTTAAATTCAAATGCTAGACATTAATTCATTACATTATTATGCCCAATTAAGTAATCCAGTTTGTCTTTAGATAAAAATTGAGTTTCAAGTTTTTATTTATTCTGCAAACATGTAGGCCTAATGTTGGTTATAAAGCAGAATTGTCTTTCCATTTATGAAATATTATACCCAGCTTCTTTTTTGCCAAAGATGGGCACATCTGAAAAATAAAATCCAGCTGAGGCTTAGAAATAATTTTATTGTAAAAATTTTGTGTGTGCTTATTATTATGATAACATTATTAATTAAAATATTAGCCTAAATATGTATATTATTGCCATAATAATAGTTTTACTACATAAAAAGTGTGATTGCTTATTTAAACAAATCTTGTTACTTTAATTAAATGAGACAGTACAATAACATCATTTGTCATTAGGTTTAAAGATGACATCAGAAGCTTTAGCCAATTTCTGTTTAACAACATACCCCGGTAGTCAAGTGGACACAGACACACACACCCCCCTGTTATTGATTTTCTGTTGGGAAATATCCTACTGACTTAGTATTTTTACAAAATTGAGCACTGGTTAACATATAAAGGCATGGGCATGGATATTTTTGTGTGCAACTAAGTAATTTCATTGAGGACATTGTTCTTCTTCTATATCTTAAGGGCCCACAATCAATTTATTGATCATTTTGGCTCCTATGTATGTAGATGGGATTTGCAATGTTTCTGTTACTGGTGGTGATGAGGAAATCATGCACTAGGGGTTTGAAGGCTTGAGACAATAGACACAAATGTGTCTAGTGTTGTCGCTTCAACCGTTCCTTTTGAAAGATTGTTCCAGTCCCTGATTGTCTTGGGCAGGAATGAGCAGCTCCTATACTTCTTGCTGGTATGCGCCGATTGCCTGTCATGGCCTCGTCGCTGTCTATGGGGGAGAGGGACGAGTTTCTGTTTAATACCGGAACAGTAGACCAGCCCATTATTTATCTTGTACATCATGGAGAGCCTGGATTGTCGTCGTTTTTTCTCCAATGGTGACCAGCCTAGTGTTTCTAGCATGCTGCCAACACTAGAGGTATTCCTGTAGCGGTTTAGGACAAAGCGTGCTGCTCGTCGCTGGACCGCCTCCAACCTGTCAATGCTCTTCTGGGTAAATGGGTCCCAGACTGAAGATGTATAATCTAAAATCGGACGGATAAAGGCTTTATATGCTCTTTCTTTCACACAGGAGTTGCCAATCTTTAGATTTCGCCTTAAGAACCCTCAATGAAAACATAAGCTACAAAACATAAAATATATACAAACAAAAAAATCATTGAAATGTCCTCCTCAACACCAGGCACAGAAACATTGCTAACCCCCCCCCCCCTCCCGCCTACATGCACAGGAGCCAAAATGATCAATAAATTGATTGTGGGCCCTTAATATATAGAAGAAGAAGAAAAATAAGTGTATTATATTATGTCTTGAAAGTCCGATTTGGAGTGAATTTATGAGACAAAAAATACATTTTGAAGAGCACTACGACCAAACAGCTGTCTAAAATGTCAACACTTTGGTGGGGTTTTTTCGGCAACATATTGTATTGGAGAAAAAAGTCGGAATTTTTTTAAGAGTGATTTCAGTGATGTAATTAAAAAAATAGTTAGTGACTTTCAATACTTAGTCAATATTGGACTACTTCAATCGATCACTAATTAATAGTATTTGATAGTAAACTACTGATAGCCGCCTTGAAGCTACTTGTAGTAGAAAATAACGCTCTAGAAGTCTTTTTGCTAATTTTTATATGAAGCGCAGTGAGGCTAGCCCAATATAAGACCACATTAATAATAATAATAATAAATGGCATAATGATAATGCTGCATATTTATATAATATATGTCATAAAGTCATATAATCATATAGTTATAGAAAGAAATGTTATAATGTTTTATTTTTAAAGAGTTGAATATCTTTATTTTGTCAGTGATTTAAATTAGAAATAAAAAGTTAATGTAGGCCCTATGCCAATGCCCTATTCAAAATGTTATTTATATTTTAATGATTTTAATGTTCTTCTTCAGCAATAAATAATGGAACAACAAGAGAAACTTGCATTAATAAAGAGAAATTTACAGGTAAATACTTAATTTTATCAGATAAGCCTCATCTTAGGAAAGGTCCTACTGACTGATTAGTTTAAACTATGTTAAGTCAAGTTACTTTTTTTCAGTTATTATTATTAAGTTATTTTATTTATTTATTTTTCTTGCGGTGGGTTTTCAGTTTACTTAAAAAGTATTTCAATTATTCAAAATAAGTTGAAAGTTTCGATAACTAATTGACTAGCCCTAAGATGAAAATTGACTTCAAATGTTTGATACACTTTCAGAGGTCTTGGACATTTTAATTATATTATTTATAAGTTACGGTTCTTGATCATTTACCCATATCAATGTGTAATCTAACCAGATAAAGAAGGGTTGTTCAAATATATACATTTTTTTTATAAAATAACAAATTTAGAAATTGTATTATTAAATTTGTATTGAAAACGGGCTCTAAAACAAATTTTAATGAATACTGTAATAATTTTTAGTATTGTTTAATTTTAAATTTTTTAAAACAAATTTAATTATTATAGGAAGTTCTTGGTGAAGCAAAAGTTGTAGAAATCTTAAAAACTAGAGATTTGAAAATATATTGGGGCACTGCTACAACTGGCAGACCACATATTGCCTATTTTGTGCCCATGTCCAAACTAGCTGATTTTCTAAAAGCAGGATGTGAGGTAGGTTAAAATATTCTCTTTTTTTTGTTACTGATATCTTATTTATAATATTGGTGCCAGAACATAGATGTTATGTGACTGTGTGTAAATTATTTATATAATAATATTTTCATAAAAATGCAGCACCAGATTCTCTAACATAGAATTGTTTATGCTGAATTTTTTTATTTTTTGGTCAATGAGAAAATGTGTTGGCAAGGGCAGATGAGCATCAAGTCAAATGAAATTGTTCATAGTTAACATTTAAAATATTTCTCCTCAGGTTACTGTTCTGTTTGCTGACCTCCATGCTTATTTAGATAACATGAAGGCACCTTGGGAACTGTTGGAGCTAAGAGTGAAATACTATCAAGCTGTCATTAAAGCCATGTTGAAATCCATTGGAGTTGATCTGACTAAGCTGAAATTTGTTAAAGGAACAGATTTTCAGCTGACTAAGTTAGTTAGCTATTTTTTAATCGGTTTTAAATATTTTGTTTGAAAAGACATCAGTAATTAATTACATTTTTTATGTTACACTTTTTAAAATTCTGTATTTAATAAAAAGAACAAAAAAAGTGAATCCCTTCAAATGTATTATAATGATATATTTAGATATTAAGATTGTAAATAGATTTTCCATGATTTCAGGGAATACACATTAGATGTATACAGATTAAGTACTGTAGTCACTGAACATGATGCTCGCAAAGCTGGGGCTGAAGTTGTTAAGCAGGTTGACCATCCTTTACTTAGTGGTCTGTTGTACCCAGGACTCCAAGCTCTGGATGAGGAATATCTTAAATGTGATGCTCAATTTGGTGGAGTAGATCAGAGGAAAATTTTTACTTATGCTGAAAAGGTATTTTGCTTTTAAGAGAGATACATATTACTATAATGTAATTGAAAATTGCTTACTAACTCTTTCTTAACAACCCTCTTGGCCTAATTTGTTTCAGTTTAACAGATTAATTCATATTTGATACTTAACATTATCAGGAATCTACAATTTATTTTAATAAAAACTAAATATTAAAAGCTATGTATGTTTTTAGGAAAGCTTTTTTTTCTTTTTACAAAGTTTTAAATTTTCATTTCAGTACTTACCACATCTAGGTTATGAAAAAAGAGCACATTTAATGAACCCAATGGGTAAGCGGTAATCATCCTCAATTTTTTGGGAGAAGATTAATTATATTCTATATCAAAAAATATTAAGTCATATGGAATTAAAACTATAAATATTACTAATTGGGCTTGTTGTAACAGGCTTGTTTGGAATTGGTCCTTAGCTTATCAGTGATACATGGTCATTCATTAACTATTTCGGGGTCACGTAAACATGATTCCTTACTATACTTATGTATCTATAATCTATTCAATTAGCTTTAAACATTCAATGGACACACATCACTATAAAAGTATCAATATATTTAATAAATACTTAACCAACTTTCAGAATTTAACTAATGTACTGTTGAAAAATTTAGTTATCCTAGCTGATTTCTGTATTTAAGATTTTGTCTTTGTTTGAAAAATATATGCACATATTTATGAAAGAAATATTAACATGCAATAGAAAAGATAAAAATTAATTTCTTTCAGTCCCAGGACTTACTGGAGGAAAAATGAGTTCATCAGAGGAGGATTCTAAAATAGACCTTTTAGATGCCCCTGAGCTGGTAAATAAAAAATTGAAGAAAGCCTTCTGTGAACCTGGAAATATCACTGAAAATGGTGTACTTTCGTTTTGTAAACATGTACTTTTCCCCCTTAGATCAAAAGGTGAATAAAAATGTGTAAATTTATAGGGCTATTAAAAAAACAAACTATGTGAGTAGATTAGAATAAGAGAATTTCATTTTACTGGGATAATTATGATAACAAATGTGAGAAAATAAAGAAGGAAAGTTGTTGGAGAGAAGGAGATTTACATTTAAAATAAATAATTTTTTCCAGATTTTGAAATAAAAAGAGCGCAACAGTTTGGAGGAGATGCAGCATTCTCAACATATGAACAGCTTGAGGAAGCTTTTGCAAAAGAGGTAAATTGTTTTTGCTGTATAGTTGATGATGATTTTATACTTTTATAGCGCTCGTGTCTGTTCTATTTTAGTATGCTCAAAATCACTCTACAACCTAAAATCTATTTAAAGAAAAAATTATTTAAATGTTTCTTAAATAATTTTTTTAACATTCAATTTCCCTCAAAGATTGAGGCAAACTATTCCATAATTTAGGCGCTATAGCTTCAAAAGAGCGCACTGCGTATGACTTCTTTCTGTGTCCATCCACATGGGAACTCGCAGTAAGGACTGTGTTAAAGAGCACAGGTTCTTTAAGGATACATGTTTAGAAATCAGTTCTTAAAGCTTTCAGGTGTAGAGCCTTCTATACATCTGTTCTTTTAAATGTTTCTTGGTGATTGTTTTATAAAACATATTTATTTAAATCGCTAGTGTAAATATAAATTAATAAATGCACCAAATTATTCCAATTTATATAGATGAAATAAGTGTCATTCTTAACATTTGAATTTTCAGGGGTTCTGTTATTTTAAGACTATTGAGCATAATGGTGTTATAATTTTTTTGTAAAATTTAAAATAAACAAATTTTTGTTTAAAACCATAGGAAGTCCATCCAGGAGATTTAAAGAATGCTGTGGAACTTTACATGAATGAACTGATGGAACCAATTAGACAAGAGTTCAAGTCTCCTGAGATGGTCGATCTCATCGCTAGAGCTTATCCATCAAAGAGTGAGTGCTAATAACAGACAGAAAGACTGAAATCAAAATTAATTTTAAGTACCCATAAACTAAAACAGCATTATCTTGTGGCTACCAAAAGACTCAACAAAATGAATTCTTGATAAGATATGCTCAGTTAGGGAATAATGTAATGTAAAAAAATGGAATATAGAATGTTCTGATTTATTTTTTTACAAAGAAAGGTGTTAAATAGATGGATTTATTTAGTTTTTCGGGGAAAGTTAGACTCTTAATAAATTTATAAGGCCAACCACTATCATAATGTAAACTGTTCAGATATGTATATTTAGTTGCTTTTTTTTTTTAATTTAGATAGTTTGCATAAACTGCTGCTAAATAACTGTTTTGCAAATTACCAGCTTAGCCTTTATTTGTCATTGTATATTTTTGTAAATTAAATGGTCATTAACGATATACATTTATTTTTTTTATCATCTAGAACAAGGTGCTGTTAAAGCCGAAGAGGTTGTTCCCTCTCGTTTAGACATCAGGATTGGTAAAATCCTTTCTGTCTCCCAGGTGGGCATATGTTTAGTTTTTTGTTCAAGGACCAATGAAAGTAATAAAATTTTATAATTCAGTTTTTAATGCACATTTTTTTTCGTCCTAGTCAGCCTTTGGGAATCCTAGTTAAATCAACCTCTTCATTCTGTAGTTCAAGGGCTAAAAAAGTAACAAACTTAAAACATTTATTGCTATTTAAAGGACTGATTTTCGCTAATGCAAAATGAATTGATGTAATATGACAAATATGCAATTTCTTTTGTCTCCAGCATCCCGATGCAGACTCCTTGTATTTGGAAACTGTAGACTTCGGTGAAGCAGAACCACGCACTGTTGTCAGTGGACTTGCAGGCCTTGTACCAATGGAGGAACTGGAGGGAAAACTTGGTGTATTTTTGTGTAACCTCAAACCAGCTAAAATGAGAGGTGTCCTATCCAAGGCCATGTTGCTCTGTGCATCTGTGTGAGTGTTTTATTTCAATTAATGTACCATTTTGTCAGTCATTAACAGTTATCTGGATATAGTCAGCTTTAATGTGAAATGTACATTATTTTAGGCATGTTATCGGTAAGTTTAAGAATAAGTGCTATAATGTTTATTCATTTCATCTTTGAGTTATCCTTTTTTTTTTTTAAGATTAAATTTGTAAAATATTTCTGACTTTTAGTAAATAAAGATGAAAATCTTAAGTTAATAATTTTAATGGTGAATTTTCAGAGATAACCCTAGGCAGGTTGAGCCTTTAGTACCACCTGAAGGTAGTGCTCCTGGTGATCGTGTATTTGTAGAAGGTTATGAAAGTGGTGAGCCAGAAGGTGAACTCAAACCAAAGAAGAAAGTTTGGGAAACCCTTCAAGTGAGTGAATTTTTCATATAAAATGTGTGTATAAATATATATGTTTTGTTTTTTTCGAAACTCAGAAAGTACATAGCAAGTTTTTCTACTTGTGCATTAAAAGATAACAAAGAATGTATAGGATGGCTTGAAATTTTTTTTTTAAGATCAATCTTTAATTTATAAAAATTTCTCACACACATTCACGCAAAAACTTTTTTTATGCTTTCAATTATTTTTAGCCATCTTGTAATTGATTATAAAATTATTTATTTTCAGCCTGATCTCCGTGTAAATAGTGAACATGAAGCAGAATGGCAGAACAATGCACTATTGACAAAACTAGGAAAAATTGTGACCAAAAAAGTTAAAAATGCTCCCATTAAATAAAATGGAACTTAGGTTATTAAATATAAAATTATATATTTCTTCATTCTTGGTTTATTTCAATTTTTGTGTGTCCTGATCTTATCATTGTCTATTTATGGCTATAGGGTAACATTATTTTTACATAATTTAAAATATTATAAAACACACAGTCTAAATGATTCGAATTGTTGATATTTTGAAGCCCATAGTCTTATATACCTGTATTTAATTCAAAAATGATTTAAATAATTATTTTTTTATTTTTTTTAACATTTATCTGGCAATATTTTTTGACGAGCTAATATATTGAACAAAAATACTTTCAAATGCCATAGGTCATACTTGTTTTTCATTATTAAGTCTTAGCATCGTCAAGAGCTGCTTATTATTAAATTATATTTAGTCGAAATGCATTATTAGATAATTAACAAAGTTTTAATAGAAGTGTCATTAAATGTAAACCTGTGCAGATTTGATTAACATGTCAATACTCACTTTATCTTTTACTTTGTCAAAACTCAACATTTTGTATCAGTGATCAGTAGTTTACCATTGTGTTAAACAAGCACCACTAATCAGTGATCAGTAGTTTACCATTGTGTTAAACAAGCACCACTAATCAGTGTTTTTAGTTTAACAAGTGTTTGAAATGTTGTCACTAAAATAACCCAAGTACAGCTGTCCATGTTTTCAAGTTGAAAAAACATTGATTTTGGTTAAGTTATCCAAAACATTTTACTTGGTCAATATCACTTGTTTCAGATAAAATATTTTGTTTTAAACTAACTTGAACATTTTTCTTGGCTATTGATTTCAGTTGGAAGCATCAGATAGTCATTGCATTAATTTCATTATAGTATAACCCACTTTGCTCATTTTAAAATGGGCTCAATTTAGTTGAGGTAAAATAGTTATTAATCAAATTGTATTAAATGACAAACAAGAATGTGACAGTTAACTGGAACAAACTGGTGCTATTTAATGATAATAAAGTAGTCCCTGTTTAACCAATATTGTATTTTTAAGTATTGGAGTACACCTCAATGGGTATAAAAAACAATTCATTAAATTTGTTAAGAAATGTTCTGAAAGATGTAAATGTCTTGCATTATTGTAAACTGCTGGTTCATTGACATTTTTGTTGACTAACAAGAGAACTCTAACAGTGGTGTCGGTTGTAAGCTGGTTATGGTTAAATTATTTTTTTTTAAATGTCTTCGTAATCGCAAATCTATAATTTCTCTGAAATTCTTAAAAATCACTTTAGGTAATTTATGAATTTGCTTCATTGAACATATTTGTAAATATTCATTTTAAACATGTTTGAGATATAAATATATGAGGTATTGATTCTTTCTTCTCAGTACCTGCATTTTTTGTCCCAATTTTATTTAATTAAAAAATGAAACATTTCAATTGTCATTTTTTTATTTAGATATTTGTCAAGTAAAAATATTTGTTGTGATTCATGAACATAAATTTTGGGGGGTCTTTCCATACATAAATAAACTTTATTTAGCTTACCCAAAAATAAAGCAAAGTTTTTACTTGACAAGATGGCTTCATTAGCATTCATGATTTTAAACAATGAAATGAATGTCATTATTAATGTTACTGAATGCAAAATTTTGATTTTTTAATCCTACATCCAATTATATTATACCATTAGTCACACAATTATAGGTGGAAGTGATATGAGACCAGCATACAACATTGCAGAGTGCTTGTTTTTTTGTTATGGTACTTGCAACATCATACAGTGTTTACATGGGTTAATGAAGGGAGATATAAATTTATCAGTAAAGCACCACTTCTAATCTTCATGTTAGCTGAAAATAACTGGCTCTTAGATGCCTCTGAGTGGAATAAAAACTATGCAAGAAAGGAGTGTATTATTTTATGATATCTTTATTTTTAGTCCTTGGATGAAACTAATTTTCAAATTATTCAATTCTCAATAAAAACAATAAACATTTTGTGATTCCTTTAAACTAAGTATTCTTTATTAGTATGGGGTTATTTATTTGTTCCACATATACATTGTATTTGTATATATAAAAGATTGAAGACCAGAATAGCAAGTAATGAGGTACATAAGGTCATACTTTACACATTTTAGGAGATATAATTAATTAAATTAATATAGGATAAAACTGGTATTAAAGATTTATATAAGTACACATTTAATCTGAAAAAATTGCAACAATATATTTAATTAACCAAAAATTTTAATTAAATAACACATTATAACTGCAGGATTTGGGAATTTAAAAAAAAATATTTATTAGTTATTAATCAAAATTTCATATTTCCTTCCATCTTAAATTTATGCACAAGGATAAAAAATAATTGGAATTAAGGTTTGAGTTTTGGGGGTTTTTTTCAATGTCACTGCATAATGCAATAATATATTACAAATCAAATATTATTTTTGACATTATGGACGGCTTGAGGAATATCAGCAAATGTAAATGGAATGTTAACTTACTGCAGAACTCATCACAAATAAATATAAAAATGAAATGTTTCAGCAGGAAATTTTTTTTTTCTAAAAACACTGGATCAAGGTGCAAAATATACACATTTTCTGGGAACAGTCTTTCAGATTTTTCTTTTATTGGAAAATACATCATAAAAATCTTAACTGATGCATGAACATTAATTTTTGTTTGTACATTTATGTTCCTGGTAATGGCATGACATAGTTTATACATTAATCAATTTTGGTCAATAAGAAACTGCAGGTAAAAAATTCAAGATCATGACAGGCTGTTTATATTGGTCCATTGGAACATGAATTCATAAACTTGCTGTTAATATAATATTCATTTAATGGTTAGGATCAGCAGATAGTTTGGAACCGTTCTTAATACAATATTGCCTCACTAACTTGATAAAATGATAATTTGGATCAATGCAGCAAGCATTCAAAATATTTAATGGTTGAAACATTAAGGAGCATTAGAGTGTATCATAGCTGTAACTTTCTAAACCGATAAGTCAAACTATACAATTTTAGAGGAAACACTATAAGACCTAATACCTTTAAAATGAAATTTTAAAATATGTAGTTAAATCATATGAATAAAATTTTCTTTAATTCCACTAAGGGATTTTTAATTAATTATTCTTCTCCACCCCATCCCACTTGCGTGCATATGGCTTACCACCCTAATGCAATTTTTTAAATATTTGTACACAACATGGAGAAGCCTTGGATAATTATGTTGAAGAAAAAAAACATTTTTTTTTTAAAATTACGCTTAAGCTTTTAGTTACAGCAATGGTATCTACATTGGTAAAATGGAAAGTTTTGGTCAGGATGAAGGAGCATTATATTTGCATCACCATGTTTTATTCTTAATGCTTTACCTTTCATTTTTTTTTGTACAATTCACAATTGCTTGATTTCTGTTAATTTTAAACAAAGGATATGTCAGAAAACTCTACATCAAAAAATCACAACTAGAAGGGTTCAGTAGCCCAGTGTTGCTACTAGTTGATTAACACTGATTCAAAATACACATTTGTTTACCACAGAAATGCTTGTTTCAAGAACATTTTTTTAAAAACAATGGACCACAATGCACAGGTTCTGACTTCCTATTGGATTGTCGGATTGTGATTATATATTTTTATGAAAATTCAGTTCAAATGAGTTCATATACAGAAATGGCTTGGCAGAATATTAATTGATGGTTCAGATCTAATGGCTATGAATTTAACACAAGTATTACATTTGGTAAATTGACAATAATTTGTTCACATACATTTTTTATAGAGACCATGTCAAGTTCTGTTGATTCCAGATTTTTATGCAATATTATTACTTGCACAAGTTTTTTCTGGCAATTTATCAATGTACACAATATCCAATGATAACAAAACCCAATTTAAGGCTTCAGTCATATAACTCTGAGAAACTCTTTGGACTGAAAGGACAGATTAAGTTCATCCTTAGGTCCAGACTTACAATGTTTTTTAAAATGTGGGAAGAGTATTTTTGAAGATGGGGTGAAAAAAAGAATAGACATTTTAGAAATTATTCTAATTTAGGTGGAAGTACAAAGCAAAATAATAATAATTTCTGAATTTTGTTTATATAAACAAAGAAAGAATGAACTCAATAAAACTGCATGATACACAATGGATAAGTTGGGATGTGATCTCTTTTGAGAATTTATCAAAAGTAATGTTCCCCATAGTAAAACAAAAACATGTATAATTTTTCATTACTTGAATGCAAAATTTATTTATGCATAAATATAATCAAGCAGAATATGAAGAAACTAGATCTAACTTCTTTTTTTTTTTTTTTAAATAATTAATTTCATTTCTGGTTAAGTTTTTAGAAAGTGTGCCTGCATATTTAAACGATCTGAAGTAGCTTAAGTGTAAAATAACCATATACATAATCAATCTTATTGTGATAAATCACCAAATAACATCTCGCAACATAAATCATCTTGCACAAATGAATCAATTTGATCAGCATCATAATGTGGTTTTATCAGCTTATTATTTGTTTGAATTCTTTCAATCTATTAAATTAAAGGTTGAATCACTGTAAATTAAGGAGGAATGGTAGAGAAACTCAGGTAAGAGATAACATGTTTGATGAGGTGTTGTACAAAGAAAGATTCATCCCTTTTGATTATAGACATCAGAGTAAACTACAGGTCTTGATATTCAACAGAATTACAACTACATATAAATGAGTATAGAAATGTGGAGAGGTCAAGGTGGTCAGTCCCAGCTCAGGTCATCTTTCCTTAATGTGGTCTGTAACCTTTTCATTTCCTTGAGCATGTGTAGGGCCGCATTGCCTGGCCCTGTGCTTCCTTCAGGTTTCTGACTGCTTAGAATCTTGGGATGTGCGTGGTTGTTTTTGTTGCTAACATGATGGTGGTGATGACCATAAGTGACTAATGGACAGCTCCCTGGCACATGGGGCCGCCGGGGCTTGTCGTTTAATCTTGAGGATGCTGGATTCATTTTTTGGACAATGTCCTAAAAGTTATAAAAAATATTTAGCAAAAAATGTTTTCCTGTCATTTCCGGATTTATTTCAGTCCCCGTAATGGTAAATACAGGTTTTTTGTTGCTGTTTTTTAAACGCACACCAAGTTGGCTACTCTCTTTGACTTCTGCAGTATGGGGTTTTTACATCCTCCCCAAAAACACCTTTCTCGTAGCTCCTTTGAGTTCATTCCAAACTGCCATTATCCATAGCCTGAGACCACCCTACTACCCTAGACACCAGATTTATTGTCAATGAATAATCTTCATTACATTCAACTTTTCTTCTTTAGCTCTATCTCAAGGTAAAAGAAAATGTAGGGAAAGGAGAAATTTACTTTTCATTGAAAAAAACTGAATAAATTAATGGAGGAAGTAAGCCGCCATTGTCTATAGTGAAAACATTATTTTTGACACAATCACCTCTGCAGAAATAAAGAAGTACAAAATGCCTATGAGAATCTAACCCGTGAACAAATACAAGCGTATACCTTCTGTTGATGCTGTCTTATCATTGAGATCTGTTGACTTTTGGCTGCCATCTTGGCCACCAGACTGTCAAGCTCCTGTTCTAGATCTTCTCTGATTTGCATATCCCTGGCATAGTGCATCTGGTCAAGGACACGGTGGTGCTCACTGTGGATGTCATGGGATATAACTCATTCATTTTTTTTCTACTTATCAAACTAAGTTCAACAATATATCCATATAAGAAGTCTTTCTACTTCACAACTAAGTTCAACAATATATCCAACATAGAAGTCTTTCTACTTCTCAACTAAGTTCAACAATATATCCATGATTAAGAATTTCTACTTCTCAACTAAGTTCAACAATATATCCATGATTAAGAATTTCTACTTCTCAACTAAGTTCAACAATATATCCATGTTAGAAGTCTGTCTACTCCTTAAAGATGAACAACCCTTTTACAGGCAGGACTGGAGAGAAATTTGGGGAATTAATAAAGAAAGAATCTCATCTTACTAATATTGTATGGAGTTATTAAGTAGATCGACACATCCAATAGATAACTTTTCTCATAGAAACATCTCACTGATGATATCAAGCGGCGGTACTACAGTTACTTCCGTTATATAAAAGACTGGTTAGAAAGACTTCACAAAACAACCAACATTAGTTGTAATAAACAGCACAATTAACTGCCTTCAACTTTCATAAATAGATTGAAAGGGAAAATTAAGGTGGAAGAGTTAGATAAATTCTCCATTTGAGAGAATTCAGTTGAGGTGAGAACACAATATCTTAGTGTTTTCTTCCAACCATTCCTTACGTGTTTAAATGCCCTAATTCATCCTGGAGCTGGACCAATAAGTCACCGAGATCCTGGTCTATGCTGGTCACACTTGATCCCGTGGAGCTGGGGCTCTCTGTCCGGCAACCATTGATGTTGGCAGAGTTAGAACACAAAATGTTGTTGTGAGACTTCAACATTGAAAGCACTTTCTGAAAGTTAGCACCGAGGGAGTGGCTGGGCCCTGTGGACTGAGAGGTTATCAAAGTTAGCACCGAGGGAGTGGCTGGGCCCTGTGGAATAACAGGTTATCAATAGTGTTGAGTTTTGCCATGAAGTCACTTTGTCACCAAAAATTAAATTTGAAAAATTAAATTCTAGGTTAACTCATCTTAATGAACTGAAAGAGACATTATTAACAACACACAGGTCAAGATGTCATACAATAAAAACTGAAGGTCATTGGATCATGCATATTGAATATTTAAGTGAACAGATTATGAAAATTAATAATTTCACATTAAATGGTTTTTATTGTGATATATATAAAATCAAAATTCAGATTTAGACAAAACATAAAAAAATGTGGACCCTTGTGTAAAATTTCCGACGGACCTAGTAATTTTAATCTTTAAACTTATTTTTAAGATTGATGACTTCATGACCAAATATTGAGGACCTTGTAAATGTTATATATGTGCTAGGCACTGAGTCGGCTACTGGCAGAAATAAGAATGCATTAAAATGTCACTTTGTGCAGAATATGTTCTCACAAAATTATTACCTTCCCTGCTACAAAAGGAATCTCATTCAAATTCAGATGATAATGTCTTCTGGGTTCCACTTTAGTCGAGCTCACAGAGTGTTTGGCTGGAACAAGTTTTTTCTTTTTTTTCCTGGTGGTCTTTTTAGCTCTTAGAATCTGAGACTCCTGAACTCTAGCAGGAGCTGAGTATGATCTTATTGGTGGCTTTTGGCTGTCTGAAGCAATCTTGGTGCTTCGAGCTGTAACAGTTTCAAGCTGCAAGAGCATATTTGGATGTTAATTTGATAGTAACAGGGAAAACTAAGTGGCCACATTGTATACTTACATTATATATAACATAACTGTTTGTTTTTTTTCTTCCAAAATGCTTTTGATGCTTTCATCAAATTTTGGTCAGAAATGACCTTTGGACACAATGATAAACAATTCTTAAAGAATTTTAGAGAAACTTTAAATCAGCATTCAATTCTAGATGGGTAGAGTTAAAAGTTCACCACTATCAACTTAACTGCATGTCTACAACTATATTCTGTTTGTTTTACTATCAACTTAACTGCATGTCTACAACTATATTCTGTTTGTTTTACTATCAACTTAACTGCATGTCTACAACTATATTCTGTTTGTTTTACTATCAACTTAACTATATGTCTACAACTATATTCTGTTTGTTTTACTATCAACTTAACTGCATGTCTACAACTATATTCTGTTTGTTTTACTATCAACTTAACTGCATGTCTACAACTATATTCTGTTTGTTTTACTATCAACTTAACTACATGTCTACAACTATATTCTGTTTGTTTTACTATCAACTTAACTGCATGTCTACAACTATAATTCTTTTGTTTTACTATCAACTTAACTACATGTCTACAACTATATTCTGTTTGTTTTACTATCAACTTAACTGCATGTCTACAACTCATCTATAGTTCTGTGGTTGGATAAGTACTATTTTTAGCAAGAACAATAGCGTAGGGCTGTTAATAATAAAATTTCTGTTAACCTGAGCAGTTTTCTCTTGTAAAGTTTTCCTATGAGATTTTTCTTCTTTCATTCTGTTTTCCAACTCTCTAATTTTGGTCTGAAAATGCAAACAACAAAGTATTCAAGATACAAATCTGTTAGACAGAAGCTTGTTTAGGCCAGGTAGAGCCTATGAATGAGATGAGACAAAAGATAATAACTAAACGAGAAGCTCTAGCCCGAGGCGGTGTTCAAGTGAAATAATTTCTGAAAATAAGGTCAGCCATTGTAAAACAATAAGATTGGAGAATATCATTTATTTTGTTATTTGATAGTTCAAATGATTTGAATGACATTCATACAGCTAAATTATCTATGGCTTTGACATATATTATAATAATTTAATCTTTAATTTTTTAATGTCCTATGTTTATTTATTTGCTTATGCCCCCCACCCTCCAGACCAAACTAAAAATTATATTTTATACATAATGTCTTAATAATTGTTTTTTAAATGCATTTTATTAAAATGAAACAATGATCTCTATTAAGTGATTAAACAGCAGCACAAATTTGTTTTACAGTTCAGTATAGTAGCCAATGGTTGTTAGTAAAGAATACATAAATTCCCTTTCTTTGAACTATTTAGTTCAAAGATTAAGAAAAACCATGCTAAAAGAATTTTTAAAATACAATACAAGTAGCGCTTAAGGGGATCCAAAAGCGTAGATAGTTTTAGAATATTGTTTTAATTAGGTTAGATGTATTGGAAGTTTGGTTATTTTCTCCGGAAACATCCTCTAATTCTTCTTGGAAGCTTTGATTATAAGATGGTAGCACAAGCAAAGATTTTGATAATAATTGATGGACTGCATTCAAGTTGTGTAAGTGAAATATAAGAACAAGCTATGCTAAACTTGAATTCATAAACAGGACAAAAGATTTTGAGGTTTCAGCTTCGAGCGTTCATCAGATGAAGGCTCTAAGGCGACACGTCAAAAAATCTTTTGTCTATGAATTCAATTTTAACGTACCTTGTTCTTATATTTCAAAGATTTTGAGCATTTTCTTTCACTTGTCATGAAATGTTAGATGAACTGGTTAGATGTTTAAAAATTCAAGCAATAAATGATAGCGAGAATAAGGTTAAAGATTACTTGAAAGGGTAATGAGTAAAACAGCTCAGTCAGCAAGCATTTAGGTTAATGAGTTTCGACATGTAAAAGCAAATATATCTACTCTTAATTTAAGCAATAGGAAAACTTCTGACCTGTTTCCATAAATAACAGTTACTTCTGTTGAAAAGTTTGTTAGTAATAGGAGAGGGCTAGGAAAGTTCATATAAATCTAACAAAAAAGATGTTTCCCAATACCTCAGGGTGTTCCGATGCCCAGGTTAATCTCTGATGAAGCAAAGGAATTTTAAAAATATGATAAACATTTTCCCAGTTCAATATTACAGATACCTTCAGGCCTTTCTAGCAAAACATTAGTTTCATCTCTTCCATGCAACTAAATCAACTGACTCCCATGACCACGTTCCCCATACTGTTAGTAATACCATGACTTCCGGCATAAGGAGAAATCAAATAATGTCTACATTAATGTAGAACTGTAATCTGCTCTATGGTACAGTGTGCAAGGGCAGGGATGGGATGGTTTCTTTTCATGTCAAAGTAATGAATTGATTTAATTTGCATGGGGATGGGTAGTAAATAATCTCTTTAAAGATTCAAGCATTAAGGAACTCTGTTGTAGTCTGATAATAAGTTTTAAAGATTTCTATAACTTTATCAAAAGCTTGTTATACTTTTAAAACAACACTGTTACACCTATATTGGGCATCAGTCTTAACGACTAAGTCTTTTATACAAGGAAACCTTTAAGGTAGGATAGAAATACAATTCGTAAAAGTTGAATTTGTTTTGAATGCACAAATTAAGATATGGTTAAGAAAATTTAAACTTTCTATTGGGACTGCTTGCCTTCAGGTAAACTTGGCACAGGTAACTTTGATATGAAATATAAATATATTTGTATTTATTTTATATCATTCATGGGATATTTCATGAGACTTTTTAATCTATGATGTGACAGCCCATTTACAAGGCCTGTGTGCAATAGTTATCATTCCAACTGAAATACTTTAATCTGAATATCTGACCTCAGCTAAGCTCTGCGTTGCCATCAGCTTTGCCTGATCTCTCTCCAGCTCGTTAAGACGATCGAGGTGAAGTTTGTTATCGGAGCCGGCTGCTTCTCGCTCCTGACGAGCCCTGGCTGTTTTCTCCTTCAGCTCCCAGCTATTTCGTTGCGAGTGCTTGGCTATTTCATGCATGTACTCCAGCTGTTTACCCAACTGCTGACAGCGATTTTCAGTTGCTTTTAGCTGGTCCTTAAGAACTGTCAACAAAATTTTAAATAACTTGAGATCTGTCAAAATATGGCATGACTTGGGTTGGGTTTTTTTTGGCATTCTCATGAATATTATGTATTGAATTCGCCGATCAAAAATTTTGAATTAATATTGAAATATTTATTTTTAAAACTATGAGACTAGAAGTGTTGTCAGCAATCCACAGCTCTGGTAAGAATAGATGAAGCACTTTTTTTTTATTAAGATAAAATGTATAAAAATGGCTCCTCACACAAAAATGCTTGCAGCCGCTTAAAAGCTTAAAGTTTCATTATTATTTCCAATTACTTTTAATTAACATCAAAGACAGCTAATTTTCAAAATTGTTCCATAATCTTAATCAACAAATGTAAAGTTTTGGGATGCAGACAAAGACATGTTCAATTCCTAGAGGGGCCACATTAGCACTGTTGCAAGAATTTCATGACACGTATATGAACTTTCAGATAAAAGATATGTGCGTAGTCTTGTAGAATTTCCCGCAAGTGTTTGAACAAGATGACAAGCTGAGTACTTTTGTTTGACAACTACATCTTATATAGACAATTTCCTGTTTAATCTTTGTGTTAGCTAACCAAATGTTTCATGCATCTACACTGTTATTTGATCATGAATCCTTAAGTACCAGGGACTTGCCAACATTTACAAAGTTACAAAATGAACATATTGTGCAGAAAAAAGTTGAAAAAGTGCACAGAAATATCTAGTAACTAAGATTAAATTATTTGTGTCAGCTCCTGCCATTCAAGAAATATTTATACTACTGCCTATAGACACACCATGAACAAAGTTAAACTTCAAACAAAGGTTCATTGTTCAAAACTTACTTCACTAGTACTAACAAAAGTAAGTAAACTCATTTCTGATTACTACTTTAGCCAACAGACTTATCAGAGTATTTACCCTTAGCTTGGTGGTCAGTGAGTGAATAAGACGTATCAGAGTATTTACCCTTAGCTTGATGGTCAGTGAGTGACTCCACACCTGAAACTTGAGTGCTGGGTATAGTTGCCTTGTTTGCACCAGATTGTTTGCTCCCGCTGGTCAGGTGTTCCTTATACTTCTCTGTCTCTGATGCCAGCGAGTGCAAGCTTTGCTCTGCAATCCGCCTGTCAATCTCCAGTTTGTTCATCTTACCCTGGAGAGTTCGTAGTGCTGCAATCACAGCTGGAATAAGACGGATAAAATATTTTGAACCCAAAAAATAATTTTTTAAAGCTGAGCAATAAGTTATATGTTTTATTTTTAAAGGTCAAGATACATTGAAGAGTTGACATTTTTTTCTTTCTTAACAACAATAATGAATTTTGTAAAAAAAAAAAAATGATTTTGTACACTTTTGCTGGATACTGTGGTAGAACATTAGAAATGAATTGGTGGAGAGGAGCATCATTATATAACTAACCTAAAATGCAATGTTATTCAATGCTTTCATGACACAGTCACCCTCATGAATCTATGGATAATAAACATTTCTACAGATATGCTGGAAAAGCTATTCTGAAGAGATGAATGAAAGCATTCTACAGATATGATGGAAAGCTGTAATACAGATAAGATGGAAATCCATTCTACAGATCTGATGGAAAGCAATACTACAGATATGATGGAAATTCATTCTACAGATATGATGGAAAGCTCTCAAAATGCAAATGAAAGCTGCTTCTTAATCACCCTTGGGACTAGTTAATAGAGTGGGGACAGACATGAGGTTTTTGTAATGGTCTCAATATCACATACAAGAATCTCAAGTTATTGGACAGGACTAAATGCATGAAGACACATGAGTTGGGAAAAGTTATGCCAGACTTGGTCATTCTGAAAAACTTACCATCTCTGTCACTCGTAGGATATGCATTAACTGGTCTGTCCTCTCGTTTGAAATCTGTATTGATGAATGGCTTAGTGGTAGGGTAGTCCATGTACCTGGTGGACAAGAGGGTGCTGGTATCAGCCATGTCCATAACCTTGACTGACAAAACAACTCACTCAGGAGAGCCCTCAGTGATTGCTGTGCAGAATGAATTCTTTGTTTTCTGCTACCTCACTGTCAATTCAAAAGTTACAAGTATTACAATAAAACCATATCTACAAAACAATTATGAAATAAATTTTAATTCCTTAGACCTGGTATGCCGGCCAAACTATGGCCTACATTAGGTGTGGGCAACTTGCAGTCCGCAGGCCACATGGGACCACTGAAATGTTAAATAAAGCCTGAAAGACCTTCCGAAAACGGCATTGATGTTTTCGTAAAATATACAAATAGTGATTGATTATTTAGTCAAACCAGTTTAAAATTAATAATCAAAAAGTTTTAAATCATCAAAACTAATAATAAAAGTCACAGAAATTTTTTTTTTAATATTCCACTACATATTTGCAAATGAATAAATTTGGAATAAATTTTTGAAGCTGATCTTCAATGTTTAATAGCATTCGTCTCACCAAGGAGCACATAATTTCCATTGCGCTCTGTGCACAAAAAGGTTGCCCACCTCTGGCCTAAATGCTCTAACCAGCGGCATCAATTTATAAATTTAACAAATCCAAATGAAAACCATAGCAATGCCATGTTTTTCAATCGAAGTGGCTATTCGGACCCGGGTCACGTTAGCCAAAATCGCTATTGGGACCCGACTGATCACGTGGGGGTCGATTTTCCCTTGATCATGAGACGGTTACGCGGCAGCAAAAATGTCCCATTGGCCTGGTTTTAAGATATGGCTGATAATGAAGATCTTGTGGAATTGATCTCAAAACATAAGACCACATGTTTTGAGATCAATTCCCAGTATGGGATTGATTTTTTTTCCCCATTTTAATTTAAAAAATTGTATATTATATCATATCATCATGTTGATTTGCAACAGTAGTTTCATAAGAAGTTTTTAAATATTTTGTAGCAATTTAAACAATTTTAATTGAAATCTTTTACTTTTATTGGTTGCCCACTCCATACTGGCCCCTAAAGTATTTTTATTTTATGGATTGCTGGTACACATACTCAAATAAAAAACTAAACAAAAATGTTAACCAGGCACTTTCACTTAAGTTTTTTTTTTTATTATTGAATTTTTAATCATGTGCCCGCGTTTTATACCCAGTAGCCAGGTATGGTTGAAAAAAAGGACTAGCCCTTCAAAATAATAAGTCTATTTCTAAAGCTTTATGCCATTGCATCCTCCAAGATGTTCATTCCAACTATCTTGTGAACTAAGTCAAGTATGAGAAAGATTATTGAGAGGAGATTTGAGTTACGAATGAGTTATCAGGAAAAACAGTTGGTGTTCAGGTGTATTACTACCAATGCCAGCGAAAAGGTGAGGTTTTGTTCTGATTAAGCCAAGCTCTCTTTAGAGGAATAGTTGAATTTAATTTCATTTTGAATGAAATTTTCATATAGCGTACTAATTATTCCATAAAGTAATTAAAAATATTTCACTTTTAACTTAAATAATACAGATAAATCTAAAATAATGAAGGATTTAATCTTAATTTATACATTGATATCACTACTTTTCTAAAACTCTAATGAAAATAAATGTATCTCTTTTTATCTTGATTACTAGTTATAAATAAAAAACTTGATCTACGAACATGGGTAAAAATTAAAGAAAATTAGAAAGAAAAAAAACTACTAAGAACTTTAACAAAGCAAAAAGAAAAAAAACTAAACAGACTAAAACTATGAATCTATGAAATAACAATGAGAAAAAAAATAATTTTTAAAAAAAATTATCATACTACTACTGCACCCGGGTCCGAAGCCATTTAATCTATATGGAACCACTCCATGTCCGAATAGCTATTTTGTCTACAGGGACCCGGGTCCGAATAGCCACATCCTTTTTCAATAGAGAACCAGTGAGAAACTCATTTATAAAATTACATATAATATGTCTGTGGTAAAAGAGAACTTTGTACTGCATGTAAAAAATGTATAGAGTTAAATGAATGTTTGACTTATTTTGTGAAAACCAAACGGATGGATGATGAAGAAGCTCTGGCAAAGCAAGAGAAAAAGCGAGACAATCAAGAGGGAGATTCACATGTAACCGATCCACTGACCCTGTTGGATCCTATTTTAACTGGCAAGACAACAGCAGGGATCCAAAACTGCTGGAATTGCACCCAGGTTCCAGAAACAATTGAACCAAACTGAGCTGAAGGCAGATGTGAAGTATGACTAAAGACAAACAGACATAGCTCTTTGCCAAAGTACTATGGCATCCATTCGTCACAATGTGACGATGGTGTAAACTTTGCAGGATGATATCACAAGGCCTGCGATTTTTCTTCAGGAGGGTAAGCTGGTTCCCTAGACAGCAAATCGCCTCTCTCCACGCACATGGATAACCAAAGGGAACATCATATGTGGATGATACTGCTCGGCATCAGTAGCATCACAGGAGTTGCCGGAATTTTCATTGTGTCAATGTTATCTGCCTACAGGACTCCATTCCAAGGTGAGAATTCAGAGTTTGCCTTCTCTTAGATGAGTTGCAGTCCAAAGGTAACGAGTCCCATCCACCCGGGGTGCTGGGGATGATTTTGCATCTAGGCTTTCGTGTGGATTGAACTCCATACTTTTGGATTGACTCAGTTTAGCCCGCTCGGCCAGCCAGTACCCAAAGCACTAGCTGAAGCCATAAGAGCATCTAGTTTAGATGCCTTGAAAGTGGAAACAGGAGTCAGTCAAGGATGTCTCTTGCCCCCCTTCCTTTTTATCCTTGCCATAGATAATGAAAGAATTCACAGACAAAATGAGGAACAGGATACAGTGGACATCCCGGGAACAAATGAATCACATAGACTTTGCAGTTCTGTCCCACAACCAACAGATGCAGGAGAGACAAAAGATGTTGACGCCATTTCTGCCCACTTCAGATTCAACATAAATAAAAGCAAGACAAAGATGATAAAGGTAAACTCAGCTAACCAAGAGCATATCTCCTTAGCGCAGTGGTTCTCAACCGTTCTAATCCTCGACCCTTTAATATATTTTCTCATGCTATGGCACCCCCCAACCACAAAATTATTTTCGTTGCTATTTCATAACTGGAGGATATATTATTATTATTATTAGTGGTTTTATATAACCCGGTACCCAGCCCTAGGCTGGGGTACCGCGCTATATAAGACCACTTATTATTATTATTATTACCCAAGCGCTGGGCTCACCGCACTGTACATATACAAAAAAAAATAATTTTAAAAAAATTAATTAAAAAATTGTGTTTTCCCGTCCAATCGTCCTAGGCGACCCCTGTGAAAGTGTCGTTCGACCCCCACCCTTCCAAAGGTTGAGAACCGCTGCCTTAGCGGGAAATGCACTGGAAGAAGTAGAGGAGTTCACATAAATTAACAGAGCATTTGAGATAAATGGTGGATCTGACGTTGTTATCAGTGCTAGAACTGGAAAGGCTAAGGCAGTATTGGTGCTTTTAAAGAAAATATGGGAGTCAAAGGTGCTGACTATGCAAACTTAAGTGAGAAATTTCATCGCAAATATCAAAACAGTCCTACTCTATGGAGCCACAACTTGGAGAGCGATGGCGAGCATAATGCAGTAAGTACAGACCTTCACAAACACTTAACTTAGAAAGATCCTGAACATAAAAGGGCCAAACATCATCACCAACAAAGACCTATTGGAAAGGATATACGAAGAGCCCATTGCTGAAGACATCATATAAGAAAAGATGGAGGTGGACAGGGCAAACTCTTCGTAAACCCCCAGATAACAATCACCAGAAAATCCCTAACATGAAATCCACAAAGAAAAACGCAGAGAGGAAGGCCAAAGAATACACGGCCACGGGCAAGCTAGAGGCAGACACACCAAGTATGGGATACACCTGGAAACAACTGGAAAGGAAAGCACAGAACCGAAATGAAGGTAAAAGACATAAGTAAAAAGGGGATTTTTGAATGAGAAAAAATATAGATAAAATATTAACGCAAGTAAATAAGCGAAGCAGATCTTGTTAGTTATGTAATATGTGAACGTGTCAGAGAAACACTGGTTCTTAACATGAGAAAGTACAGTCATAAAGTCAAAGGGAAATAAATAGTAATTTAAGAATGAACGTAACTTTTTATTTCCCTTTGAAATCTTAAAATAGGTCAGGTCATTATTTTAACAAAGAGCAAAAATTATGCAAGACCCTAGTATCAATGTCGATATAGAGGCACAGGGGCTTACAGCTCAGAACTCGAGGCCCTAGTATCTATATTGACATAGAGGCACAGGGGGTTACAGCTCAGAGCTCGAGAGGCCCTAGTATCAATATCGACATAGAGGCACAGGGGGCTTACAGCTCAGAGCTCGAAGCCATAGTGTCTATATTGACATAGAGGCACAGGGGACTTACAGCTCAGAGCTCGAAGCCCTAGTATCTATATTGACATAGAGGCACAGGGGACTTACAGCTCAGAGCTCGAGGCCCTAATATCTATACTGACATAGAGGCAAAGGGGACTTACAGCTCAGAGCTTGAGGCCCTAGTATCAATATCGACATAGAGGCACAGGGGGCTTACAGCTCAGAGCTCGAAGCCATAGTGTCTATATTGACATAGAGGCACAGGGGACTTACAGCTCAGAGCTTGAGGCCCTAGTATCAATATCGACATAGAGGCACAGGGGACTTACACTTACAGCTCGGAGCTCCCACATTCCTAAACCACGCTCAAGGTGCTGTAGACGTTTTCACTGGCCAGATAAGAGCCGCGCATTGAACGATACAAGTGTCCTCAAGTGACAGACAGAAAGGCAGACAGACAGTTCAAGACAAGCAACCACAGACTTTAACAAATCAATCGGAACCAGGTGATTTTCCTCGGTATAAGACACAGTTTTAAACACTTTTCTATAGTTATTACAGGACTCTAGCGGCTATCTATGATTAGAGCCTAGGTGTCTCATACACTATAGTAGATACGAGGACAGCAGATACCATCTGATTGGTACTCCTCACAATGACATACAAAATCAAAACCCTGCAAGTGGTATTCCTTACAATGGCACCAAACAAGACACCATCCGATTGGTATGCCTTATCATGATATCAAACAAGACACCGTTGGAGTGAAAGAAATACTAACAACTTACACAAACGTCAGACACCACCCAAATGATGGTCATTACAAGGAAAGCACACCCCACAAACACTATCGGATCGGTAGCATTACACGAAGCCACTATAGGATACGCCATAACTGTTATATTAAACAAATAGTATGACATTAGGGTAGGCATTATTTTGATGAAACGAACAAGAGTTTTGCCAGCCAAGTGCATCTTTACTCCCCCCCCCCCCCACCTCCCCCTCCCCCAACAACACTCGACACATAAAGATATATTCCGTGACTTCAGCGCATCACTAATAATCTTAGTTTGCTGAAGACATTATCTAAGTAACACACATATTCTGGTGAAGGACTGAGATTACTCTTATGACCCCGGCTAGTATATTTGCTACCAGCTCCATCTGCTGGGCTGAGCCATAACAACATTGTCCTCACGCAGGACTCTCCATCCGCCCTGGCCTCCCCCGGGACATCTAGTGAAGGACATTCGGCAAACAGGTGCGCTAGTGTCTCCGGGACCAGGCTGCAATGCCGACAGGTAGGATCCCTGTTGTTGTCAAGCCGCCAGAAGTATGTGCCTATGGGGCAGTGCTCGGTGCGCATCTGCATCTAAATTCTGATGTCTACGGCCTAACCCCCACTATGGGTCTTGTTTGATAGGAGTGGGCAAAATTGACTAAGGCTGGGCAGCCCCGGTTTACGCCAAAGTGTCCGCTTTCTCATTGCCACTGACGTGACCAGAGATCCATTGCACTGTCATGTTGCCTCATATTTTACCGATTTTGCACACGTCATCAATGATGTCATCAACTAGGTGAGTGGTACCTGATCTCTTTCCCAAGATCTCGAGAGCAGATCTTGAGTCTGAGTAGACGATCACAACGAGCCCGGCAAGCTCCGTCCCTTTCATCGTGTGATACGCTCTCCAAGGCCCTGTGTATAGCCTCAAGCTTCGCATCAATGTTTGATGCTGCAGTCCCACAGGGCCCCGAGAGTTCTTCATTGGGTGGTCCCCCTACTAGATACTGTATGAGCGACAATTCCCAGCAGTTCTTTTTCTTAGATTGGCAGAGCCGTCCGTGAACACTTTCACTGGTATATTGGAATACGGGGCAATGGTCTCAAGGGCAGCCGCTTTCTCAACATGTTCAGGGCTGCGTCACTGCTGCATCGGTCAAGGCCAAATGTATGGAGGGACGTGAGGGTTCCGCGTATGGCGGATAGACTGGGATTAGGGTCAGACGTTCTCTATTGCGCGACAGATTGACTGTCCTCTCAATCTCCACGACATGACGCATGAAAGAGGACCTCTTTAGTCGTCTGCCCGCCACCCAGTTATTCTGCATTTGGAACGACGGCTCCTTCTCGTTTAGCCATCGGTACCTCTCTACGGTAATTAATATTTGCCTTTTCTCTCCTTATATCTAACGGTTCTACATTGACTAAGACTTCTACAGCAGCTGTGGTTGTGGTCCTGAATGCGCCACAAATGAATCTCAGAGCCTAATTCTGGATTCGGCCCAACTTTTCCAATGCGGTCTTGCTTGCGAAGGATTGGACAGGCATGCTGCAATCCATCAGCGACCTTACACTGCCTAGGAATAGAGCTCATCGCGTGCTTGCGCCCGCACCCCAACTCGTGCAAGCCAATGTTTGCTGAAGACAGCATCATGTTAATCGATTGGTATGACATAGTTAGTCTATTGATATGGCTTAGTTAATCTATTGGTACGACATGGTTTAACTATTGGTATCACATGGTTAATCTATTGTTGTGACATGGTTAATCTATTGGTATGACATGTTCAATCTGTTGGTATGACATTTTTATGACGTCTTTTTTTTTAACGCCGTGAAACTCGTGCATGAACTCTGGGTGACCCCAAGTTCGGCGACAATGGGTGTGGCTGCATTATAAATTGTCTCCCTTGACCTTGACTACATGTAAACAAAGTTTATAGTCTTTCGAATTAAAATTGTTTAGAAATTACGAGACAGGTCGAGGTACAGAAACAATGCTGAACCCCTTTATGGAAAAGTCTCCATGAAAGACTATAAATAAGCGGATACAAATGGAGCTAGAGAGATTGCTATTACGATGCGAGACAAAGAGAGAGTTCTGTACTGATCGTAAATTTGTATATTAATATTTACTGCATGTGTGTGCACCTTTTTCAACTTTGTACCTGTACCAGTTCATTGCTGTACTGTAAGTGAATAGCTTTAGTTTTATTCTATTTGATCTTGTTATTTTAAATTAACTTAATAAATAAATAATTTGTAGTAATTAGCCCTAGTCTGCGCATCGTTCTTTTTACCTGTATTTAACTAATGGTAGCGTCCTTTGTTATGTACGGTTTGTCACAGTAGAGTAAAATAAGAGATTAAATTCTCTACATTATAGCGGTACGTAACAACATAAATAATATATTGGTAATGAGGGATGTCAACACTGTTCAGTATTACTATGTTAGCGAAGTTTCCATGAAACTTGTTTACAACTTTGTTTTACGAAATATTTTACACATTTTTTTTTTTTACTTCTATTTTCTGAAATCGGAATTCATTGCGCGAACGGCATATGTAACAGTAACTCTAGATACAAGGATCGTCCGAACGCTATGCTGAACACACTATAAGCTGCCATGTTTTAAGCAATATTTGTCCGCCGACCTTCTAAAAATAGTACGCTATGACGTTTTCCGGTCTGAGAAATGACAAAGCCTATATGTATTTCATCTATTGGTATTACATCGTCAATCTGTTGGTATGATAAGGTTAATCTTTTTGTATGACATAATTGAGCTAAAGATATCACATATTGAGTCGATTGGTATGACCTATTTTATCCCATTCATGAGTACATGTTTACACATTTACACACAGGGGTCGTCAGTTGATTATGATAATCATACCCACAAAATAACACACCCATCTCTTCAAATCGTGTTAATAGTTTGATTAGAGACACATACTTAATATACTTATTTAATGGCGTAGTTTGTTTGTTGGTTTTAACACGGCAGTTTAGAGTGAAACCCTGACTTTCTAACATCGGGAAATGTCATGTTTGAAATGGTGTTGCTTTAAATGTGTACGCATCACATTTGACATTTAAAGTCAATGATCTGACCTCCTTGTTTCTATTCAGTTTCATAAAGGACCGTTTACATTCAGTCACTTATGACGGCGTAAGATCGCTTTATTTTGGTGAGATTTTTCAACCAAACTTAAACTAATCTATCAACCAGACTCACGAAGGACCGTGTTCATCGGTTGGACTGTTTTTATTAAGTTACAATGAGCCTTCCAAGTAAACCAAACTGAATTGCGACATCTATAGTTCAAATAATTTGTAGACAAGGTGTCAACCCTCAGCCACTGTCAAGCCCAACAGTATCCATTGGACCGGATCCGCCGCTGTCACTAGCAGCAATATCTGTTTTCCGTAATTCTTGGACACACAAAAGAACTAGCCCACTGGAGCCCACCAGGAAAGCGACACTCAATGGGACAGTCTCTGTGACAGTTAAAGGGAGAGTGTGGTGCCGACAAGTCGGAAAGGGCAAATGGATTGTTAGCACGAGGCCAACCCACTTTAAACAAACCCCTTTTCAGTGGATACAACTCCTGCTCAGTTCCTTATCCGTGGATTTGAGAGGATTACGGCACGAGCTTGGAGCTACGACAAAAGGAGGGCCGGGGCCGGAGTCGACGGTAGGAAAAAAGGGAGAAAGGAATGGGGGGGGGGGGGTATTTGGCGGTAGGACTGGAACTTGTACGGTCTCGATTAAAACTCGATTTAACCAGGAGTGTACTATGGCTGGAAGCACGGTCTGTCGTTAATTCCAACCAGAAGTTGAAATATTTATTTACTATATAATTGGCAAAATATGGAGGGGATTCAAAAACAAACCGCAACGTGGATACCAAATAGAAAACCACTTTGGTGTCAAATAGAACACCACTTTGGTGTCAAATAGAACCCACTTGGTGCTAAATAGAACCCCTCTTGGGTGCCTAATAAAAACACATCGTGGATGTCTAATAAAACCCATCGTGGATGCCTAATGGAACACAAATTTGATGCAAAATAGAACCCACCTAAGTGCCAAATAGAAACCACCAAAGTGCCAAATAGAAACCACCTAAGTGCCAAATAAAACCCACATAAGTGCCAAATAGAACCCACCTAAGTGCCAAATAGAACCCACCTAAGTGCCAAATAGAAACCACCTAAGTACCAAATAAAACCCACCTAAGTGCCAAATAGAACCCACCTAAGTGCCAAATAGAACCAACCTAATTGCCAAATAGAACCCACCTAAGATCTAGCTACCAGTAAAACTGAACTTCGCCTATGTTCTGGTTATATGCAGATACTGATTTTTTTTTCTTACCTAATGCACTTTAACAACCTTTTGGCCCTTATATAGGCACTCCATTCTGGATCCGCCTCCGTTTATTCACATGAGTGAATATTACGAAGTCAACATAAAGGAAACCCAACTATTACTAACACTATTACAAGCTGGGAGGGAAACTGATCAATAGAGAACAAGCAGTTGAATGGCAAACTGGCCACCGAACACACTGCTCAAAATGAAACTTCTTTTCTTAAGAGCAATGAATGAATGTAGCGATCTCATCTGCTTTTAAGTGACTCGGTCCTAACAACCTCGGCAGTCGACCACTGGTGCCAGTAAAATTGGTGTCAGTGGCCATTGATTTACAATTCAAATCGGTAGCAAAGTTTGCTCAATTACAAAGCATTGCATCGTAGACTACTGCCTGGGGCAGTGGTTGGAAACACGAGACCCAGGAGCCGCATGCGGGGACAGATGCGGTTCTGTTGTGTTTTTTTTCCCCTAATCTATATGCTGGCATGTAGCTACCAAACTATCGTCCTAGCAGATATAATATTTAAAAACTGCTCCTCACTCCAGAAATAAAAGGAAGGTTGGCAAACCGCGGCCTAAAAGAAGCAATGTTTAAAATGTATAACATATCATCTTGAGCATGTTTGATGTATCCAACAATTTTAGAGATTGGAAACCCAAATTTCTTGTTATTTCTTATCTGGAAATCATCGTGACATATGTGTTTTAAAGAAGGCGAATATAAGGATGATATATCAACACGGCTAGATGACAAGGAGATGTCACAGCTGCGTCAATTAATAAGGATGTCGTTTTTTGTTTTCCCCATGAAGGCAGTAATTTTATATTATAGGACCTTGTGTCTCTACACAAATGACATTTTTAGCAAATTTGGCCCTATAAAACTGTTATGTAGGCCCTATAAAACTATACGGTTGGCCCTATAAAACTAGACTGTTCGCCCTATAAAACTCGTAAGTTGGCCCTATAAAACTAGACTTTTCGCCCTATAAAACTATAAGGTTGGCCCTATAAAACTATAAGGTTGGCCCAATAAAATTATAAGGTTGGCCCTATAAAACTATATGGTTGGCCCTGTAAAACTGTAAGGTGTGCTCTATGAAACTATAAGGTTGGCCCTATAAAACTATAAGGTTGGCCCTATAAAACTATATGGTTGGCCCTATAAAAGTGTAAGGTGTGCTCTATGAAACTATAAGGTTGGCCCTATGAAACTATAAGGTTGGCCCTATAAAACTATATGGTTGGCCCTATAAAACTATATGGTTGGCCCTATGAAACTATAAGGTTGGCCCTATAAAACTATATGGTTGGCCCTATAAAACTATATGGTTGGCCCTATAAAACTATATGGTTGGCCCTATAAAACTATATGGTTGGCCCTATAAAACTATATGGTTGGCCCTATAAAACTCTTAAGTTGGCCCAAATAAAATTTTAAGGTTGGCCCTATGAAACTATAAGGTTGGCCCTATAAAACTGTAAGGTTGGCCCTATGAAACTATAAGGTTGGCACTATGAAACTATAAGGTTGGCCCTATAAAACTATATGGTTGGCCCTATAAAACTATATGGTTGGCCCTATAAAACTATATGGTTGGCCCTATAAAACTATATGGTTGGCCCTATAAAACTATATGGTTGGCCCTATAAAACTATATGGTTGGCCCTATAAAACTATATGGTTGGCCCTATAAAACTATATGGTTGGCCCTATAAAACTATATGGTTGGCCCTATAAAACTATATGGTTGGCCCTATGAAACTGTAAGGTTGGCCCTATGAAAACAGATTTAAGTATGAAGCTGCTTTTTCCCTCTCCATTATTTTCTCTATGAAATGATACTGTTTATAAAGACATATAGAATAGTTTCATGGTGTAGAGCCCTTCATTTACATCAAGATAACGTCACTTTTACCTCCCCGATTTCTCCCTAACCCAAAATAATCATTAAAATCCCTTTTTTTTTAAATAGTCCTTATACTTACAGAAAATGTCCTAATTCCAGCAAATGAGAAAATGTCCTTATTCCAGAAAATGAGAAATGTAATTCCAGAAAATTAGAAAAATTATAACTTAACGTTGTTGCTTCTTCTTCCTCTATCCTACACATTTTGAGGGCCCACGACCACGATCAATGCATTAATCATTTTGGCTCCTATATATTTTCAAATACTGTTTTTAAATACATTTACCTCCCGAACTTTATTAATTTGTTTTTGTTCTTGTCATAGTTATTCTGTGGACTTATTTAATAATGACTAATCCATCTTGGAAGTTGGGGTTGGGGGGGGGTTGCGACACCATGAATTTTCCGCCACCGGGTGAGACCCACCCTAGCTACGCCACTGCGGTAAAGCACTTTGAAATGTTGCTAGTTGGCACTTAGATGTGTTCTTATTCCGCCATAAATGGGATCACTCCTATCTCATAGCATAAATGGGATCACTCCTCTCTCTCATAGCATAAATGGGATCACTCCTCTCTCTCATAGCATAAATGGGATCACTCCTCTCTCATAGCATAAATGGGATCACTCCTCTCTCATAGCATAAATGGGCTCATGTTCCTATAGAAGCATAGATTGACTGGAAAGGAGGTAAATTATAAGAAAAATCAGGTAAAAACTGAAACACGTCAATGAAAATGTCACTAACTTGAAAAGTTCAAAAGAGGGTCACGTAATCCACAATGCGAGGTACACCATATCAAAGTGCAAAATAATTTAGACATGGTTTTGTTCCATATTATCAGTGTCATACAATGACAACTGCTTGTGCCATGGGCACAACCAACACAATCAACCTGAAACTGCTTGTGCCATGGGCACAACCAACCTGAAACTGCTTGTGCCATGGGCACCACCAAAACAATCAACCTGAAACTGCATGTGCCATGGGCACAACCAACACAATCAACCTGAAACTGCTTGTGTCAAGGGCACAACCAACACAATCAACCTGAGACTGCTTGTGTCATGGGTACCACCAACACAATCAACCTAAAACTGCTTGTGTCATGGGCAACACCAACACAAACAACCTGAAACTGCTTGTGTCATGGGGACCACCAACACAATCAACCTAAAACTGCTTGTGTCATGGGCACCACCGGCACAATCAACCTAAAACTGCTTTTGCCATGGGAACCACCAAAACAATCAACCTGAAACTGCATGTGCACCACCAACAAAATCAACCTGAAACTGCATGTGCACCACCAACACAATCAACCTGAAACTGCTTGTGTCATAGGCACCACCAACACAATCAACCTAAAACTGCTTGTGTACTCTGCTCTCCTAAGTTGGGAGCATTACATTCACAAAATCCGTACTGAGGAGTAACACTGAACAAATGAAGTACATGTAGAGAGCATGTTTCTTTAGCTGTATACCATGTGAGAAAGTGTCTTGGCCTTATTTATAACATATTTTTGTACTATAAGATTAATTACAGGACTCTATTACAAATAATAAAAAAATAGTAGCTTCAATGGAAAAAAATGATATATTTAAACGACGATCAAAGCATTTCATAAATAGTGATTGATTTATTTTTTTCTTAAATGTATGATTGCTTTACTCCGCCCTACTCCCCACCCCCTCGGGTTTGCACATCTAGCCCTGACTGACTCCGTGCAATGTTTCAGATAATGATGTTTCATTTCAAGGCTTCGCACACTCTGACTCCATGAAATGTGTGAGACACTGGTGTTTCATTTCAAGGCTTCACACACACTCCTGAATCCATGAAATGTGTCAGATACGTGTGTTTCATTCCGAGGCTGCGACGTAAAATATACATTAGTATCAGACTCCGAGAAAAACGTGAAGTCCTCTCACAGCCCGGGTAGTACTATTTAGTACCAATAACTCTTTCCATGTTATGGACTCCGTTTTGATCTAAGTTCCATGGCTGAGCAACAACGGGATGGGCAATTAGAATCAATCACTTTGTCAAACGCCCATTCCTATTACAAAGTGGATGCTTCAGCATTCACACCACGGAACAACAACAAAAATAATTGATTTTTACACGCTCATATTGAATCAACAGCTGACCCACTCCTTGAAAACTCGGAACATCAGGAAGAATACCTTAGGCTCATCCACACGACATACCCTGTACAGAACAGAGCATGAAACAAACGCGACACCAGTAGTTGGATAATAAATAAAAATCACTGCAGATAGACCTATGGTACCGCCCCCACCAAAACACACACATTCCTTCATGACTGAGATCGATCATAGCGTGGTACGTGAACAGACCAGCGATACTTTCAATGTCAGGCTGTAGGTAGGCCACGTGACCCCGGAGGGAAAAAGGGGGGGGGGGGGGGACGACAAGATTTTCCCTTGTAAAGTCGGAGTCAAAGAAGTGTCCAGGGGAGGAGTCGAATAGCAAGTTTATAAACGGGTATTAAATGTCAGGAAAATGGAAAAAATGGGAAAAAGGGGGGGGGGGGGGCGACGACAAGATTTTCCCTTGTAAAGTCGGAGTCAAAGAAGTGTCCAGGGTAGGAGTCGAATAGCAAGTTTATAAACGGGTATTAAATGTCCGGAAAATGGAAAAAAATAATTTAACGATACATGTTGCTGTCCATGTAACTGGGCGTGCGTTGGTGAGGACCCTGGGGGCAGGGGGAGAAAACAACACAAGTTATGCTACTAGAGCCACCAGGTCTGCAGGTCCACGCACCTTCTGACCAGCGATGAACAAACAAGAAGCTATCGGTACTTTCTCTGCGTCTGTGCCAGGATCGATTCTGCCGATACCTGACACAACGCCGTCACAGTGAGACGATCTTGTTCACATAGTGACTTAACGGGTGGCTTGGAATTTTAACGCTTAATAAATCATAAATAATCTACTGCGTCAGGGAATTGTGGAAAAAGTAGGGGGGGGGGGGGGGGGGGGGTGGTAAATTTATAATTAATAATCTTATTGACTTGGGTTGGATTCAGATCTTTTAGGAACCAGACCCCATTTTTCTGGGGCCTACTCACTATCATAAAATAATTACATTCATTGAAGTTTCTTATAAACTCTAAGGGCGTCCCTAAAGTCCGGGACCTAGGCTGCAGCCTTGTCAGTATAATGAGTAGCCCAGGCTTGTTTACATAAGTACTCAGGCTTGCTTACATCAGTACTCAGGCTTGCTTACATCAGTACTCAGGCTTGTTTACATCAGTACTCAGGCTTGTTTACATCAGTACTCAGGCTTGTTTACATCAGTACTCAGGCTTGTTTACATCAGTACTCAGGCTTGTTTACATCAGTACTCAGGCTTGTTTACATAAGTACTCAGGCTTGTTTACATCAGTAGTCAGGCTTGTTTACATCAGTACTCAGGCTTGTTTACATCAGTACTCAGGCTTGTTTACATCAGTCCTCAGGCCTCTGAATCGAGGCCAACCAGGTTATATCCGCCTGAGATTGAACTATCCACAAGACAAATCAATTACTGAACTTGAGAAGTAGAGCTCACCTGTTGTGACCTGGCTATAAAACTCCCCAGAGAAGTAGAGCTCACCTGTTGTGACCTGGCTATAAACTTCCCAGAGAAGTAGAGCTCACCTGTTGTGACCTGGCTATAAAACTCCCCAGAGAAGTAGAGCTCACCTGTTGTGACCTGGCTATAAAACTCCCCAGAGAAGTAGAGCTCACCTGTTGTGACCTGGCTATAAAACTCCCCAGAGAAGTAGAGCTCACCTGTTGTGACCTGGCTATAAAACTCCCCAGAGAAGTAGAGCTCACCTGTTGTGACCTGGCTATAAAACTCCCCAGAGAAGTAGAGCTCACCTGTTGTGACCTGGCTATAAAACTCCCCAGAGAAGTAGAGCTCACCTGTTGTGACCTGGCTATAAAACTCCCCAGAGAAGTAGAGCTCACCTGTTGTGACCTGGCTATAAAACTCCCCAGAGAAGTAGAGCTCACCTGTTGTGACCTGGCTATAAAACTCCCCAGAGAAGTAGAGCTCACCTGTTGTGACCTGGCTATAAAACTCCCCAGAGAAGTAGAGCTCACCTGTTGTGACCTGGCTATAAAACTCCCCAGAGAAGTAGAGCTCACCTGTTGTGACCTGGCTATAAAACTCCCCAGAGAAGTAGAGCTCACCTGTTGTGACCTGGCTATAAAACTCCCCAGAGAAGTAGAGCTCACCTGTTGTGACCTGGCTATAAAACTCCCCAGAGAAGTAGAGCTCACCTGTTGTGACCTGGCTATAAAACTCCCCAGAGAAGTAGAGCTCACCTGTTGTGACCTGGCTATAAAACTCCCCAGAGAAGTAGAGCTCACCTGTTGTGACCTGGCTATAAAACTCCCCAGAGAAGTAGAGCTCACCTGTTGTGACCTGGCTATAAAACTCCCCAGAGAAGTAGAGCTCACCTGTTGTGACCTGGCTATAAAACTCCCCAGAGAAGTAGAGCTCACCTGTTGTGACCTGGCTATAAAACTCCCCAGAGAAGTAGAGCTCACCTGTTGTGACCTGGCTATAAAACTCCCCAGAGAAGTAGAGCTCACCTGTTGTGACCTGGCTATAAAACTCCCCAGAGAAGTAGAGCTCACCTGTTGTGACCTGTCTATAAAACTCCCCAGAGAAGTAGAGCTCACCTGTTATGACCTGGCTATAAAACTCCCCACTAACAGAAGTATTTTTATCAATAATTGAAATTTTCCGTAATTGGCTAATCGATATCCTTGAGATTAATCATTGAAGTCTTTCAGGGCAGCCCGGACTAAGACGATTAAGAATTTTATGAACCAACATTTTGCAGCAGAAAGCTATACGAAAAGACACAATGTAAATTCTTTACTATAAACTTGGGACACAATGTATTTGTTATCTAATGAATTTTATTAATTAATTGATATCAATGTATAGTCTCTTGGTACAGTATCATTATGTCGACACAGTGTCCCTAATCGGTTCACATTTTCTTGAAGTTTTAGAGTTAACAAATAATATCAATATAAAAATACTCTTCTTACTTTCACATAAACGTAACACAAACTTCTGAGTCAACAATAGCAACGAAAATAAAACTAACGCATGAAAACGATTATTATCAACTAGCTGACAATATGTTAATATCAACTAACTGCCAATATGTTAATATCAACTAGCTGCCAATATGTTAATATCAACTAGCTGCCATTGTGTTAATATCAACTAGCTGGCATTGTGTTAATATCAACTAGCTGCCAATATGTTAATATCAACTAGCTGCCAATGTGTTAATATCAACTAGCTGCCAATATGTTAATATCAACTAGTTGCCATTGTGTTAATATCAACTAGCTGCCAATATGTTAATATCAACTAGCTGCCAATATGTTAATATCAACTACCTGCCAATATGTTAATATCAACTAGCTGCCAATATGTTAATATCAACTAGCTGCCAATATGTTAATATCAACTAGCTGCCAATATGTTAATATCAACTAGCTGTCAATATGTTAATATCAACTAGCTGCCAATGTGTTAATATCAATAATATCAACTAGCTGCCACACAGGTTAATGTCAACATTCGTAAGAAAGCATTGCTTACACTGGGACATGATATGAACAACGTCAATTATGCTCTTAATCACATCACTTCGATCAGCGCACTGACCTGTGTGGTTGCAAGGAATCCGACCTGTTTGGCCTTGGTAGATGAGCATAAATCAGGTTAACAAGCTAGTGGGCGCTTGTCTCTCTCAACGAAACACAAAACACGCAATATGGACACGCTATGTTCTGTCTTTAGGCTTAGGCCACAAAGCCCGACTCCCAATTCTGGTCATGGTAAAGAACTCTGAGGCTCTTGCTTAAAGCTCTCGACACAATTTACCGCGGTAAAATAGTGGTAAAACTGTGTGCGACTAAGAATTCGTGACGTTAGTGGCCAGTCTTTTGTTATCCACAAAACTACTGTGAGAAGCGGTCCCGATTTTGGGTTTTATTTTCACTTCGTGTAGTTTTCCACCAAGTGGTCCATGGGCGCCCGCAGAAAATTTCTGGGGCAGTGGTTCCCAAACTTTTAAGTTTGACGGACCGGTGAACAAGTTTCTAAATTTTACATGATTTATTTTTATACTTTTATTTCTATTTGACAATAAATATTTATGTTATGGGGACCGGCAGCGTTAGGCATGCGGACCGGTGAAGGTCCACGGACCGCAATTTGGGGACCACTGGGTTCCCATCGCCTAACCACGTGTGCCTGACACCCCCCCCCCCCCCCCCCCCCCCCCCCTTTCCTTCCTCCCCATTGCTGAATATTTATTTTGACTAGTCCTGTAAATTCCTATGCTCTATAATGTATACTGAAAAGTCTTGACCAACGTTTTGTTATCAATGTATCACTGATTTCATTTGTATGGTACAAATCTTGAAATCAACTTTAACCAGCTTCGACTCAGACGAATTTCTTGAAATTGTTCTACGGGTGATGTTAGAGCAAGATCACTGTACTGTAAGGATTAAATTCAACATAAACCAGTTTACAGATTTAATTTTAATCTTTGACTCATTCGCAAAAATTAAATATAAAAGCCACGAACTTAACTTTGGCTTTTTTTAATGGTCTATCAACGAGATATCTCATTAACGATATTTTCAAGTTCATATATCAGCCCCCCAAAACTAGCGGAAACATCACTTACCCCAATCTCAATCATCTCATTCTCACAGTATAACTCTCACTGCAACAATCACATACCACACTCTCACTGCAACAATCACAAACCCCACTCTCACTGCAACAATCACATACCCCACTCTCACTGCAACAATCACAAACCCCCACTCTCACTGCAACAATCACATACCCCACTCTCACTGCAACAATCACAAACCCCCACTCTCACTGCAACAATCACATACCCCACTCTCACTGCAACAATCACATACCCCACTCTCACTGCAACAATCACATACCCCACTCTCAATGCATCAATCACAAACCCCCACCCTCACTGCCACAATCACAAACCCCACTCTCACTGCAACAATCACATACCCCCACTCTCACTGCAACAATCACATACCCCCACTCTCACTGCAACAATCACAAACCCCCACTCTCACTGCAACAATCACATAAACCCACTCTCACTGCAACACTCCCAAACCCCCACTCTCACTGCAACAATCACAACCCCCCCCTCTCACTGCAACAATCACAAACCCCCACTCTTACTGCAACAATCCCATCCCCCACTCTCACTGCAACAATCACAAACCCCACTCTCTCAGCATTGATTTTTTTTCTGAACTCCTTTTTGTCAGCTAGATTCAGATCGAATTCCCGAGTTTATTAATCCCCCCCCCCTTTTCTCATACCACCCCAAGCACAAGAGCAATGATAGACTGAAATAACAGCCCAGGAGCTGGCTCCAGAGAAGTTCAGGCGGTGACAAGGTCTGTGGACACATGAGACGAAGTTTTTATGGACCTCTAACCATGAAGCCACACAGATTTATGGCACTTTTTTTTTATTATCCTTGAAAACCAAGTTTCCGGGTCAATGACAAGCCACAGAATAAGTCTAAAATGATAGATCACAACAGTTTTTCTTCTGTAGATATAATAGCATAGCACCGAACAATAGTTTGCCTTGTGTATGTTTTGGTGTGTTTGCTTTTTTTTTTTTCAAAGAACTTTAAAGCCTTTCTTCAGGAAAACAAATGTTAAGTCTGTGTCTCTAGGTTCACTATGCTGTCTGTTGCACATTGTTTTTTATGAATCGTGCGTAATGTAGAGTTGTTTCGGCTAGATCTAGTTTCGGCATCAATTTGCCAATGTAATATTTGACTCTTGTCTGTAGATGGTGGCCACTTATCATTCTCTAAGAGTTCACACATGTCTGACCAAGCCTCGGCGTCGATGTCCTATCATGAGATGGATCGTGTGCCGAGCTCTTCTGAGCTCCACAGTGAACACAAAGTGCTCCAATGGACAAAAAGTTGTGAAAACACTAGACTTAAGATTAAGCCGTCTAAATCAAGAGGGTCATGTGTTCCTGCATTCCTCTGTAAATAAATCAGTTCATAAAATAACATTATATGGTACGCGGGGCGTTACGCACTCCGCCAACGGCTGCCGTGGGAACATTGTCAGACGTAGAGGTACTCAGCACCAGTTCATATAGAACTGCATTGTGAAAAAAGTATTCAAATAACTTAAAGAACAAGATCTATCAGGTTTGGTAGCTTAAACGAGGCCCGATTTGCTGCTCGGAAGTCATTGTATAACAACACGATACATTTTGCTACAGCCGAATTGACCCTAAGAGCCAAGATTTTTATTTTAAAACATTAACTCAAACACCCCCCTTCCCCTCTCCCACTCTCCGGTTTGAGACTAGCATTAAGGAAACAATCTTGGTTTTCAAAATTACTCATTTGAACTTTTTCATAAGGTTCCAACGCAAAAGTCAGTTTTCAGAACATGAGGTGAACACTGAAATACTGAACCATTGAGAATTGTACTATTTAAATAGAACTGTAAGCAAATATTTGTAGATTCACATTATTTCAATAGTAGTGTATATAACAAAGCAAGCCAATCATGGTGGACCATCAGTACTCGTATTCAAGAAATCAGTATTCGTATTCAATATACTGTATTTCCTACAATGGCATTACTTTACATGAGCTCCTCACATGGAAAAAATAAATAAATCACACTCTATCAAAATAACAGGGGCCAAGCCAAGAAGATTAACAGGGCCCAGACAACCAGGCTGTCCTGTCAGATGGCGCCCAGACAACCAGGCTGTCCTGTCACATAGCGCCCAGACCACCAGACTGTCCTGTCACATAGCACCCAGACAACCAGGCCGTCGTGTCACATAGCGCCCAGACAACCAGGCCGTCCTGTCACATAGCGCCCAGACCACCAGGCTGTCCTGTCACATAGCACCCAGACAACCAGGCCGTCGTGTCACATAGCACCCAGACAACCAGGCTGTCCTGTCACATAGCGCCCAGACAACCAGGCCGTCGTGTCACATAGCACCCAGACAACCAGGCTGTCCTGTCACATAGCGCCCAGACAACCAGGCCGTCGTGTCAAATAGCACCCAGACAACCAGGCTGTCCCGACAAATAGCACCCAGACAACTGACAACCAGGCCGTCGTGTCACATAGCACCCAGACAACCAGGCCGTCCTGTCACATAGCGCCCAGACAACCAGGCCGTCGTGTCAAATAGCACCCAGACAACCAGGATGTCCTGACAAATAGCGCCCAGACAACCAGCCCGTCGTGTCACATAGCACCCAGACAACCAGGCTGTCCTGTCACATAGCACCCAGACAACCAGGCCGTCGTGTCACATAGCGCCAAGACCACCAGGCTGTCCTGTCACATAGCACCCAGACCACCAGGCCGTCGTGTCCCATAGCGCCCAGATAGCAATTTATTATAACCTTGTGAGGTTGAGTTAGCTATGTACATGTGTATGATAAATATAAAACATGTTATAGATTCAAGTGATGGTAAGGACTTAAGAAATAAAATGAGATGGAAGTTTCGTCAAAGACACTAATATCAGTCACCAAGGAATATAAAAATAATGGCTTTAAGCAGCTCACCGTGAATATCAAGATTCATTGAGATGCATCTTGGGGCATAACCAATTCCAAGATCAGAAATAACAAATTGCTTAACCAATTCCAAGATCAGAAATAACAAATGGCATAACCAATTTGAAGACCAATTTCTACAAATGGAATTACCAATTCAGAGACCAAAAAACAACAAATGGCATAATCCTGGAGCTTTATTAACAACAACCCTTTAAAAATTATCCTGGATGTCCTATTCGTTATTTGCATTTTTTTTTAATTGATCCCATCGTTTCAGACAAATACATTCTATTATAGCTGTCACGAGACGAATTTTTTAGGGACATATTTGAAGGGGCTACTGACCGTTACTCAACTAAAAATTAAACTGAACTAAAAATAAATTTTCAAAATATGTTGACTGGTGGGTACACAAAAACCAAAACCAATGATAGGTATAACATTTTAAATTAAATCATGATTAGTATCAGATTAGAGACGGAATGTAGTTTTCAGAAATAGGTAAAAAAAAAAATATTTAAAAAAATACTTTTGGAAAGGTCATGATAACACATCACTTATATGGAAATGTTAGAATATACCACTAGCTAACCAAGAGCAACTGACTCAAGGGTGTTTTGAAAAGTAGGCCTATAGTAGTGAGTATTTAGTAACAATAGAATGGTTTTAAAAGTGTGTATCTTAGACTTAGACCCATGATGCAGCTTTTTTTATTATTATGTATTGAAATTGTCACAAATGATCAGCGCTGTACATGGGAATGGATGTACGTGGGTATGACAGTGGTGGGTACCAGGTACCAGAGAAATATACAGTTGTGAGGGAAGTATTGACTTTGGCATTTAATGATGGTTTATGATAATGCAGGGAAGACATAGCCTGGGAACCAAGCCGGTCAAGGGTACATCAGGTGATCAATGAGGGATGGTGAGGGAAAGGGTATAACGGATGAGTTAGAGTAATGAGTTTTGTAGTTTGCTGGTAAAGGTAGAATGTCCTTGAGGACCCTGGCCTGGGTGCTGTTAGTTTAATTAAGTTTCGCGATAGAAGAACCCAACCTTGATAGATGTTAATAAGCCGGTAGAGACATGGCATAGACGTCCGGGGCAAAGGATCTGGTTGGGAGAATGTAGTCTCTGGTAATGTTGCAAGTCAATAACCACGGGGTTGGAGTGGTGGGTAGTTTGATGTATCAAGAGGGCTAGATATAAGCTATAGCTCTGTTTCCCAACGTGGGGCCCATGCATTGTTGGGGGAGGGGGGGGGGGGGGGGCAATAGGAAAATGAGCTGTCTAGACTTTGAAAAACAACCGTCTACTATGATTTAACTTGCATTTTAAAAGGAGGGCCGTTAAAAGTCTCAATTTAAAATAAGCGTTTGTTTAAAGTGTTGTAAAAATCATTTAAGTTTCTTCAGTGAACAACCCTATTTTTTAATATTAAAAATTATGTATATGGTACATGTGGGACATAAGAATTTTAGAAAGACTTTGGTGGGGCATGGCACAAAAAAGGTTGGGAAACACTGAGCTAGAGGTTTGGTGACATTCAAGTAATTTAGAGGGAATGGTTGAGAGGGGACAATGGAGAGGGAACAGTTGAGAGAGATCAGTTGAGTTGATACAGGAATCGTTGATATGATAGAGTCAAACTAAAGTAAGAGAAGTGGACGTTTAGCTATTTAGAAACACAGAGATAGTTTCCAATCAGTGAGGACTACAGAAGAGCTTTTTATATTAGTAATAAATACACAATATTTCATCATCTGGATACATGGAAATTGTTATTTAGATTTCATTCAAGTCTACGCTGTGATCTTGTCTGCCTCATCGCCTAGATACGAAAAATATAAATCACAGAGAGAAGCAGTCCTTTTCAAACAACTACTAAGTCAAAAGAGTTTGTGATAAAAAAGGACTGGAGCCTTCCTCCATAACAACTGTTCTGTGACACATTTTTAATTATTTATTTTTTTTTTATCTATAATACCAGCTCAACTTATATGTAAACATTTCAAGATGCTGTTCCATTTATCAGAAATTTAAATGTGTGTAAACATGGGCAACACTAATTTCATTAGACATAAGTAGAGAAACCAACTGAACAACATGAATCTTTCTATAAGTTTAAAAATTTAAACCAGGGTGCGTCTAAGCATATTAAAAAACTCTTTCACAGTTAACCTTAAAAAAGATATTTTAAATATCTTCAAAGAATTTTTTTTTTAATATAAATATTTTGTAATTAATAGGAGGAGAAACTTGATAAAATAGATCACATATATTTATGAGACATGCCATTTCCCTGTGTTTGAGTACAAGAGAATGTTTCTATAAAAAGAGAAGATAAATGTGACCATTACATTTGTTTTAATGAAAGTTTCAAAATTTAAAATAAAAATTTATCAGAAGGAAAATTAAGTTATCTGAAGTAAAATATTACTCATCATGTCATATGCACATTTACTCTCCCATATGCCCATGCCTGCAGCTACCTAAATATTTTATAATCAAATATAATTTATGAAATAACTCTTTGTTCAAAGAAGATTGCCGATACCTGTCACTGACATAAAATTAGAGGAGGCCTATATTTAGGGACTATTATGTAGGTTACAATATAAGTCACAGTCTTTCTAACATGAACCATAACAACTAGGCCAACATTTTTATACTCCCTAATTTAAAGCTAAAAGCTGGTGCTAAATTTTAAGCTTATTAAAAAATTAAAGTGAGCCTGCAAAAGCAGATGAGCGCACCATTTCTAATATAATTAAATGATGTGCCTAGGGCAGCTAGCCTACGACAGGGTCTGGCAACCTATGGCCCTAATGCTAAATGTGGCATGTACAGTCTTTAAATCTTTTAATAATGGCTATTTAAAAAAATTATAAATGACCCAAAAATGCCTTTTAGGGTTAGGTGATGCGTACATTACCTTCAGTTTCAGCCTATGGTTATAGCACATTAGTTATAATAAGCATAGACCTTCTAGTATATTCACTAGTAAATTAATAGTACTATACCCGAGGTGGGCAACTCTAATGACAACTGACACGTGTGGTGTAAAGACGTGTAAAATATTATGAATTTGGCTTTGCCCTAAAAAAAATTGCATGTAGGCGTACAATTAAAAATTATCATTAAATCACAAGTTGTCATAACAGCAGATCATCGCTTCTGGGGCATTATGGCAGATATATTCAGCCTTTAACAAAATTAATATTATATTATAATAAATCACAAGTGCAAGGTGAAATCACAATCATTTAATTTTAGGACTCAAGTGTTGGCCCTTCAAAAAGGTCTGATTTCTTTAAATTATTTAATTAACTTTATTGATGAATTCTTTTTTTTTTTTAAACTGTTGTTGGCATTACTATGATTATTAATGGCAGTGAAGGTAGTTGTTCAGTTCCAAAGTATCGAAAGAAGTGAGAAAATATTACTTTTCTGATTATTTCGGCAATCCTCCGAACGCTGATCCGAAATTCAAAACATTAGTAAAATGCATTGAATAGTATACTTTTCATTATAAAGATTTTTAACATCTATGATTCTGAATGAATGGTGTTGCCTTGCAGATTAATTGCTTGTAATAATGTAAAATCAACAATATCACGACCGGCAAACCACAAGCACCGGTTCCTATTGTAAATAATGTTACGCAAGGAAACATTCTGTAAACTTCTGACACAATGCCCAAGGCACTGTATGACAGCATGCACTGGTTAGTGTGGCTTGCTGAACACTGTTATAATAGATATCAATGTCCCATATATTTAGTCTGACGTGCCAATTCACCCGATGGTTTCTCATGGAAATGCCTTCCGTGCAATATGATATTCAGTATACACTACAGGTCATTTTATGCAGACAGACTGTGGGCTTAGCACACAGAACATCATCATGATGATATTTTATTGGGTTTCAGAAGTGAAATGCAAGCTTTCTATGCTTTTCAAAAGCTCTAAAACTTTGAAGACCATTGTAATCTACAATGATTTTTAAAGAATAGAGTGTTTGAATTTGTTTCAAATTCATCAAGGTGGAACACACCAACATGGCCTGTTTCCAAGCTACTGGTGTGCTTTCCAGTGGCCTTTTAGCAACAAAGAATTTTTTTCAGACAGTAATTGAAATTGTTGAGTGACAATTATCACATTTGACCATGTACTAAGTAAAACATTATTGAACTGCCAAAGTAACTGCTCATTCAATTTGTTTTACTAATGTTGTGAATTTTGGGCGGGCGTTCGGAGGATTGGGCAATCCTCCGAAGTCCAGTCCCAAATTATTTCCAATGATTATTCCTTACTTAAAAGTCTTAGGCGTCATTTTGTTTTGAAATTCATGGCAAGGATATCAAAATGTCGGTAAGCTCAACAATGGGATATATGCTCACTCTGTCATTATAAAATGAAGGACTTTGGATGCGAGCGAAACGTAAACTCCACTATCAGAGTGGTGCTAGTCCCGGTCTGTTTGCCAGTTACTTGGGGGCCTTTCAGTGGCGCAATGTTTTCGGGTGCTATTTCCAAATGCTATGCGCCTATTACAATATTTAATATTTACTGACTGGTTTGTAACATGACAGTTATATGCAAAAGCTATGACTGACATTTCTGCTGTTTTCTAAAAATACACACTGTGCATTGCAATTTTTTTCATACACAATAATTTGTGACCGGACTTCGGAGGATTGCCCTTTCTAGCATCTATCGAGAAGCAGAGATGAGGTGTGCATTAACCAAACTAGAATTGAACCATCTTTTGGCAACATTTTTGCAGTTTGCTAAATTAGCAAGCTAAGTCAAAAAGATTACAAATTATCATAATCAAATTTTGCATAAAATTTTGATTAAATAATTGCATTCATTAGTCATTAGGCTTAGACCTGGCTTATGCCTATGCAATAAGAACTGAATCCTGCTATCTGATTCAATCAGTGATTGTTATTTTAGTTTTATAGTTGTAAGTTTATTATTTAATAATAAGTAGTTATAGAATATAGAAGAGAAATAGAATCTATTATCTATAGTCTATATAGTCTATAATACTATATAATATAATATAAATATAATAAATTTATATTAATTTAATTAATTAATAGATCAGATAGATCATAGATAGTAAGTTACTGAATGTAAATGTAAGATATGAATACTAAATGAATACAGTCACAGCTTATTTCATTTATTCTTATTTAATTGTAGAAGTTGGGGTTGGAGGTATTGAAGGCCTATTTTAAATGATTATAAAAATGTAAATATAATATAAATAATAAATTTAAAACTACAATACCAAATTGGCCTCTAATTTTTTTTAATGATACTAACGTGCAAAATTTCTTTAACATTTTTTTTAATTCATAAAAGCGTTGACTAACCTTTAAAACATGTTCATCTTTTAGCGCATAAAAATCGTGTTTGTTAAGAGTGAATCAGATTCTGATAATCGCTCTCAGAAAAACGTAGTAAGCCTTCAGCATATTTGTTTTCGCTCTAAAATTCACAATACACTCTTCTGTGTGAAAATTAGAATGTAACATCCGGGAGTTTACAGACTCCTCAACAACCGATAATTTTCTGATTGGCCGAAATTCGGATTCTTGGATTAGATTATATGAAAACAATTGTTAAGAAGATCACGTTTAAACGTGTATGTAAGCATGAAAATAATTCAAAATTAACTAAATTTCGGAGAGAAGTTGCAGCTTTGAAGTAAAGAATTTATTGCAATTAAAGGCAGCTCTCCTTTCAAGGGTTGATGAACAAAATATTCATAATATATTCAGAATAAAGTATACTACACCATGGCAGCCGCCTTGTGCAAATAAATGTTGTGGGGGCCTGTGACGTTATATACCGGGTTCCATGGCAGATATGTTATTAAATGTCATAGGTATACTGGGTCTTACTGGTCATAATAAATAGGACACGTCATACTATGCATTTTTTTCACTCATTTATTTTGCGAAATTGTTGTTGTTTTTAAATTATTTTTTTTTTTTTTTTTTTTTTTTAAATAAAGACAGTTGTATTTCCTTGAGACCAATTACTTTTCTTCCCCCGGTTTTTTTATTTTTTTTTTTTCTTTTTTTTTTTTTGAAATTTTTTTTTTTTTTTAATTTTTTTTTTTTTTTTTTTTTTTTTTTTAAATCATGACAGTTGAATTTCCTTGAGACCAATTACTTATCGTGCCACGGTTTTTGTAATCTGTAGATTGTCGAAAACAAAGTCCGAAAAAGCACAAAGCTGAATGAGCTTTACGCTCTAAATAAACTGTATTGGCTTGTTTTTTTTTAAGTAACAGACGGGAATCTTGAAGCTAATTAAACAGAAAAAATTAGTACTTCATAGTTTAGGGCGGTACCAATTCAGTGCCTCGCTCATTTGATAATGCTGACAATCCATTTAATCGAACCTGACACGTTGATGATTCCAAGTAGGTACGCTGTTATCAAATTTAATTTTGAGAAACTTAATTTTGCACTTGCTGAAGTTACTGGCACTGTCAAATTATTGTGTACTCGATCGCAAAATGTGTGAAAGACTCCGCCAGTGACACAAGCGATTCATGACCACTGTAATGCTGTTTATAATTCCCCTGGGTTCATTTCTCTCAAGATCTTTAGTTCCTCTAAGTAATTCCGAACCATCGATATACCGTGAATCAACGCTTTTCAAAGCCAAGTCCCAGTAAATATCGAAGAGTTGCACAGGGGTTGGGTTTGGGAAGGGGGGGGGGGGTTGTCAAAATGTCTTGTAACGACTTTGACAACAAGAATGTGTACAATTTGGGAGAATAATAAGTACTGGTGGATCAAATGAATGTCTTAAGTATGGAGCTTATTTTCTCATGTGGGTTAATTAGAATAAATTATAAAAATGTTTACTCATTACTTTGGAACATGGACGACATTATAATATGCCTGTACATTCAGTTTATGTTCTGAATCAATACCAGGTAATAAAAACCAATATTACAATTTTTAAAAAGCTCTATGGCTATGTCTTAATACCTGATATGAACCGTTTTGAATATCCAAATCACATTTTTTTTAAAAATCAGATCATGATACTGAGCATTCAAATAAACATGCACCTGTGTGCAATGGCGAAGCTAGGGTTTGTGTCACCCGGTCTGGTAAACTCATGGTGTCACCCCCCCCCCCCCCCCCCCCCCCCCCCCCCCAGACTGCAACGATTGATTTCTTTTTGTTAAAATAAGTCTGCATTCTACAGTATAACATAGACAAGAACAAAAAGAAATTAACTGAAGGCTGGGAGGTCTTAAATGTATTTAAGAAATGTAACAAAGTTAATTTATAGTTATTTTTACATTAAATTTAATATATTCATTTCCTTTTCCTGGTCTTCACAGCTACAAACATGTCAATCATTTGATCAAAATCAACATTTTCACCATTTCACTTTCAATTGATAGTAAAGCCATATCAGAAAGCCTTGACTGTCCCATGGTGCATCATAAATAGTTCCTGATAAGCCTTAGTTTTGAAAAGCTCCGCTCTCATGCAGCCACAGACACACAGATCGTAAAAAACAATTGAAGGCTTGGCGAGAGTATTGGAAGAAATTCTAGAAAGTCCCATTCAGCTATGAATTTCAAAACATCAAATACTGACCAGCCCATGACTATGTGAAATTCAATATCAGCTGCCTTTAGTTTCTTTTAGGCATTGGTATTTCTTTAAAATATCCTCTTCTGATAACTCATCATAGAAAGAGGTTAATTTTGGAACGAACACCAATAAATCATCTGCACTTGCTGATAGTAGATTCTTGGGTTGAACACCCCCAAACCTATCTGTTTGATCGCTGATGATCTGATCTGGGATTCAGAATGAAAGCGAATACTACACTCCCGCATCTCCTTTACTGTTTGATTCTCTCAAATTCAGAAAGAGCTCAGCATATTAATTGTTCTCCCGCCATTCTCTTCTAAAACCTTCATTTTCTCTCTACCGAATTTCCATAATGGTCTGATTTTACTAGCGCCTTTTCAATAGCATGTTCCACTAAGTGACTGCGCTTCTCTTGCAGACACAATCTTAAGGTCTCTAGGTTGATCACCACTTTGTCGAGAGTAAAGGGTTTAGTGTGCATATACTCTTATGTAAGATTAACTTCCCAAAGTAGATCAACTCAAAGGTAAAGGTAGTATATAAACGTGAAATCACAGAGAGCATGTAAAAACCTTGTGCTTTAAGACAATCGTGCTCAAATGTTAAGGGGCGGTGCTAGTGACGAATAGGCGAAAATAGTTATCTTTTTAGTATTTATGTTTTTCGATATATTTGGTTTAAAAAAAAAAATTAATTTAAATAAATTTAAATTGTTTATTCAAAATATATCGAAAATTTTGTAAAATATTTTTTTTTGTTAACCCTATAAGTGAATTAAATATATATATATATATATATATATATATATATTTTAAAATCGATTCGATTTATGCACTTAGAATCGCCTAACCACATCGTATTTGGTATCAATGGAATGCTTTATTTCTCAGAATTTAGATCAATGTAACTTTCTGTCACTTACGGAAGTAACCGAACACTTCACTTGGAAACAAACCATGATCAAAAGGTTGTTTTTTTCTGACCTAATTATAGGATCCCCTCCTTTCTGACGTATTAACCTTGAACTTTCAATAAAGCATGCATTATGCATTTGGATTGGCTACATGTGTGAAAAATGTACGTGTGATCAGTTATCTTTTTATCAAATTCGGTTAGATCGAGCAGTGTGTGCTCTGTAAATATGCAATAATTGTTCAATTTGGTGTCACCCCTAAAATAGTGTCACCCGGTGCAGGCCGCACCACCCTTGCTACGCCACTGGCATGTGTGATTACTCCCAGCCTTGCAATTCTGGATTAACAGAAAGACAAAATCCTGAAACCTGTGTTTATGCAAGCAAAAGGCTACTTTAATATAGAGAGAAGCACCTCTAGACCAGTATAAAAAGTAAAACTTCGGAATTATGGTACATACAATTAAAATTTCTTGAACAGCATGAACAGAAATTCGAACCTTTTTTATTATATCTAATGATACTTAAACAAGTTCATTAAAATGTGCGTCATTATAAGATGATCTCATAGTTTGTTTGTTTATTTTTTAATACATTTTTAAAATGAATAAGTTCTTAAAACTCCCTCTCGGAACGTAACTGGAAGTCATGAATAGACTACTTCAACAACTAAATTTGATATAATTCATAGGGACATGTTAGAACCTGAACAAAAAAAAACAACAAAAAAAAGTCGGGGAGCGCGACCCCACCAGGAATGGGATCCATATTATTTGGAAACGGGATTCCATTGGGAAACGGGGGTCTTATCGGGGAGGAAACTTTCAACATAAGTTATAATAAACGAGAAAAAATGAAATTTTCATTTTGTTACTTTACTGACGTGTTTTTTGTTTTTGTTTTTGTTTTTGTTTTTTTACAGCGGCCCTTAATTTCACTTTTAGCTAAATGGCTGCTCAAGCGTTTTTTTTTCCCCCGAATGCAATCCCAGGAAATGCCGGAACTGTTGGCAAGTATAAATATAAAAGTGTATAAGATGCCGAGTCTAGACGCGAATAGTGACACATATAATTATGTCTTCACGGTTTTTGGTCCGGGTTATTTTTGTATGTCAATATGAACAAATCTTCGCACAATGAGTCTGCTAGAATACATGACGTGGTCTGCCAGAATACATGGCGTGGTCTGCCAGAATACATGACGTGGTCTGCCAGAATACATGGCGTGGTCTGCCAGAATGCATGGCGTTGTCTGCCAGAATACATGGCGTTGTCTGCCAGAATACATGACGTGGTCTGCCATTGACTTTGTTGCTTACTCGTATATTCGGGTGGCTCAATTTATAATAGGCAGCTCCTCAAATTGGTGAATCATTCAAAGTTTGCATCACATTCCTAACTGTGCCATTGTTCACCGGCACCATTTGGACGCCTTATGTTGTCCTTTGTCTTCGTAATTTTTCTTCTGATTTTTCTTAGGCTCTTTCTTCTACTATTCCTTTTTATACAACACTCTCTAAGAACTGTGAGGTTTCAAAAAAAAAAAAAAATGGCTCTGATCAAGTAACAGGATATTTATGGCGAGGTGTGAAGATTGGAATCATAGAATTAGGGCTGCCACGTGAAGTGAATGGAAGGGTGGAACAAGGAATGGGGGGGGGGGGGCTATTAGTATGTGTTCCGGGTAGGGATTCTTAACCTTTTTTGTAGTGCTGCACCCCCTCCACCCCCTCTCAATTTTAAAACATATCCCGTAAACCCCCACCCCCGGAAAAAAATATATTTTAATAAAATTTTTAAATGAAAGTTATCAAATAATTTAGTTAGTATAGTTTAGTTTATTTTTAATAATCCAGAAAAAAAAAATGCAATACAAGTACATGTAGTGGACACAAAAATTCACCAGAAAAAAAAAAACATTTATTGCTGCTAATAATCAAAATGAATAAAAACTGATTTTTTTTAAAAGTTAAAAATAAATATCAGTGGCAACTAATACAATTTTCTGGGTTTTCCACACCATGGGCGGTGTTTTCACCCCTTGTTAAGAACCACTGTTCTAGGGAAATGTTCCTGACGCAGGTGCAATAACCCGATATCCCGTTTTTATAGGACTGTAGTGGGCGGAGGATTTTTGTCATAGGACTGCGGTGGACAGAGGATTTTTTATAGCACTGTAATGGACAGAATTTTTCTATAGGACTGTAATGGACAGAATTTTTCTATAGGACTGTAATGGACAGAATTTTTCTATAGGACTGTAATGGACAGGAGATTTTTTTTGTTTATAGAGAAGGGTCTGTGACGCTATTTTCTTTTGAGTTTGGGGGAGGCTTTTCCTTACTTTTTGTGATGTTTTTTTTTTTTTTTTTTTTTTTTGGGGGGGTGGGGTGTTGGGTTGAGGGGAGGCACATTTTTGTGAGGTAATTTATGGATGGCCTCTAGCTGACAATTTTTTAAAAAATACAGGAAGACAATTATAATGAAGAAAACATGACTGCCGATTAAAACTTATGAATTGGTTGCAATGTGAACACAAATCTCGACAGAATCAGTCGGTCATGTATGGAAGTGTAGGAAAATTATGTTAAACGCCTTGACCGCAACCTTACTGCTAAACTGTAGCATCTTTGCGTCATTTGCATAATGTAGCCAATGCTTTGAAATGGCCAGTGGTCTCATACCAGTTTTGGTGTTGTTGTCACATCAGTTTTGTTGCGGACCGAAATTGTATTGAAAAAAAAATTAAATTAATGTAAATGTTATGTCTCAAATATTACGGTGGCGTCCGGTTCGTCACAAATATTTTGTGTACCAGTTCAGGATCGCATAATAACATACGGATACTAAAATAAAACTGCTTTAGCCTTACTAACTAGTCTGACACCCAGGGGTGTCATTTCAGGTTGTTTTTATTTTTCCAGGGGTTGGGGGCAAAACCAATCAATACTTGGTTGGCTTTGTTTAGTTGTTTATGACTTGAGGCGCCACAGTACATAACAATTTTAAAAAAAAACCTTCAACCTCAAAGTGGGGGGTGGGGGGCAAATGCCCCACCCTGCCCTACCCCAATGACGTCCCTGTTTACACTTATACCAAGAAGTATCATCAAAAAATATAAGCCAGAGCTCGGAAACGTTCTTTCCAGTGCTGCCACACTTTGGGAATTTTCCCAAGATCTAGGGAATTCACTACCCCATTTCAGGACAAAAACTCACTTTTTTAAAAAAATTCCCCAGAGTTAAAAAAAAAACACCTCTTATATGCTTTAATGATATCGGGAAATCTTGGGAAATATTTTGACAACATCTTTGGAATTTAAAAAAAAATTGAGTGGTAGCCCTGGTTCTTTCACCCGCGGCACACCCTAGGGCGCCCTAGGCCTTTACGAGAATTTCGATGTACACCAAAAGTAAACAAAATGCACACATATACTAAATAACATAATGTCGTTTATATAATATTCATAATGGCGTGCAATACTAAAATGTATAGTATTGCAGTGCATTGCTAATGTAGTAGTGGACACATTTCTGTTAATCGCTGAGTTGGACAGCTTGGTAGTAGGCTAACTAATTTCCCTTTACTCTAGCAATACGGTTTATCATTTTTACTTGCCTACAAATAGGCCTACTTCGCTTTTCTTCTCTTCCAGGCATTTTGCACGGCACACCTGGCATATTTCGATGCACATTAGCGCGGCACATTGGTTGCGGAGCTCTGCTTTAAGTGGTCGGTAATCTTCTAGCGACTACATACTCCATAGTCGCATTTGGATCTTTGATAGAATAAATGCACCTCTTTTCATTGTAAAAGCGTTCATTTTTCTATTTTAAAATCTCGAATGCCATTTGTAAAAACACTCTCTTCGTGACAGTGGCCAATATTTTTTCCATGAGAAAAACTTTAAAGTTGGCCGAAAATGCCGCCCCTCCATAAAAAGAAAAGGAGCCGTCCGGAAGCGGACCACCCCCTCCACCTCCCTTACTACGCATCTGCTGCCTGACGCTCCAAAATATTTCTTAGTTGGTATAATTTATAAAATTGTTCTTCACTCAAAAATTTTTGCCGACTCCAACTAAATAGATCTCCTCATCTTTGGATTAAAATAATGTATCTAGTCCAGCTTTATAAGTCTCCGATCGCATGCGCAGATGATTCTACTTCCGTTTGTCATCTAGATCAAAACCTGTTATTGTAGTGATAGAGAGCGTCTTCTTCAAAGGGTCATACGATTCTAAATTTGAACTGCTTTTTTCGATGCTGTCGATAATGCTGTGAAATTAAAGATGGCAGCACTATTTTCTTGCACAAAATGTCATAAGAGATATCCTTTTGATGAACTTTCTCAAGGAGAACAGTTGTGCAAGGTTTTAAATATGAATTTTAATTCAAATCGCTTTCTCTTTAACTATTCTGATTCTGTTGTCACTGTTGTCCACTATTGAGTTGAGAAATGATGGGCCTAAGACTTAAATAATTCTGTACACAAATTTAGGATATGGTCTTTATACTCAGACTGATATAGGCCTAACAATCTTTGTTACTCATTATTTAATAATAGCTCATTACATCAAATAGTTAAAAAATGAAACTTATCTTGGTCTTGGTCATAGCACTTCTAAATAGGAGGGACTCATTGAAAAAATTAACTGGCCTACTGCCTACTACTCTCTCAAAGTGTCTCCAGATCATCTACCACTGACAGCAAAAGTAAAAAAAAAAAAAGAAAATCAAACCCTTATGTCCTAAGCCAAATTAAAGTATTCTCAACAAAAGCCAACGCCATCATGTTTCATAAAAGGGGTGGTGTGAAATTTTTTTTATGTAGTATGCTAAAACTAAATGAAAATGTGACAAAAAGACGAAGGGAATCTGAAAACTTTTAGTTATGAAAAAAGATGATAAAAATAAACAGCCACATTAAAAGTTAAGGGACATTAAAAATATTACAATTAAACTCTTTTGAAAGGGCGAAAAAATGACATGATAATTCACTGTACAAAGTTTTGATATATTTTCGAAAGATGAGAAACTCTTGGAAGGCCTAAAATTACTAAAATGACAAATGAATTTCAACACATGTTGAAAATTTTTAAAAAAATTGTTTTCGTGGATAAATATTGTAAATTATCACTTTATCTGGAGAGTATCATTTGACTGATAACCAAATGTTGATTTATTTTAATTATCACTTTAAAAGAGGCTGATACCAATTAATATGCATGGCAGATACCTGCTGATTAATTATCTCTAAGTCTAATCTAAATGATAGCTTTTATTAAAAATCATCTGTCTTGAGGATCTGTAACTATAATTATGATAAATGGTCAATTTTAATTCTAGGATTGCAGAAACAACTATCCTACTGTCAAGTGCACTTACTGCAGGGCTGAGTTTATGCAAAACAGGTAACATTTTCTAAAATCCAGCCAACTTGAAAATACTTCCATCATAATACTTTTAAAATTAGTATAACAATTTTGAGTTTGTTAAGCATGCATTGTAAGTGTAAGTACTGTCAGCTTATTAATAATAGGTTACATTCTTTACAGTAAAGGAAGTACAAGCTCCATATGTGCCAAGTGTGCTCAAAATGTTAAACATTATGGAAAGGTAAAAAAAATAATTTCACCCTGTTATTATTTGAACACATAACGTGGTAACTTCACAGATGTTAATTTTAGTTGAGCTATCTCTGTTTGTGTGACCTCCAACATCTATAAAAAGGTATTTATTTCTGTCGAATGTAAGTTGCAAATTCTAGGTTTTCTAAATTATTTCAAGGTTCAGTAAATAAATGTATAGAATAACTGGCATTATCAGAAGCTTGCTAATTAAATCACTCTTGACAAATTCCACTAATGACTCCTCATTGAACTGAAATAATATTCACTTTAGATTTTGTATTTTAATTTATCTCTCTATCAAGTATTACTTGATAACAATGAGAGGCAGAGTTACCCTTTAAAATATTGAATTATATTTTTAATTGTATCAATTGTTTGCAGCCAACTGCATGTGAAAACTGCAGTGTACTTGCTGCTTTCATTGGAAATCGCTGTCAGCGTTGTGTCAACTCTGAGAAAAAATGGGGTCCCCCGATGGTGTGTGAACAGTGTAAACTAAAGTGTGCCTTTGATCGGCCAGAAAGGAGAAAGGTCAGTTATGAAATATCAGCTACATATTTATAGTGATTTTTTTTTTTTTTTACAATATGTATTTAGCAGTTTTTGAAAACTGCATGTAGTTTCACAAAGAAGAAATTAGAGTTTCAAGTATTAACATAAATGATTAAATATTAACACCGAATACAAAGTAGTTTATGGCTCTACAAGTTAGAATTTACTAGAACTGTTGTCTGAAACTTCAATAACCATTTTCATGTTACAGGTCGTAATAAAAGTATGATCATTTAAGGAAATATCATAATCGATTTTTACAATGACTCCTACAATGATAATACCCTCAACTGTTAGGCTTAATACTGGTATACACTTAATGATTTTTAAAAATAGATTTCAGCGATTTCAATTCATTTTTGTAGGTTGATGGAAAACTGATGTGTTGGCTTTGTGACCAGGCTTACAAAAGGGTTTTAGCGAAAACCAGAAAGACACAAGATATGGTTCTCAAACCGTCTAAATCTTCATCCTCTCTATTGGACTCTTCAAGTAAATCTAACACACCAACCAATAATGGACAAAATTTTACCTCAAATCAAGCGTTAACATCATCTGCTTCATTTGAAGGCATGACGGTTTTAGAACGTCTGACACGATTAGCAACAAGCGGTGGAAGCAGTCGAGGTAACACTCCCCCAGTAGAGCCTAAGCAAGAAGGAGAGAATAGACTGGCAGAAAAGGCTACTAATTTTCTTGATAGGGTAACAAGTACAGAAGAAGAGGATTCAAAAGAGGATAAAGAAAAGCATCGCCCCCACAACCGACATCATCGCAAGCATCATCACCATCACCGCTCACACTCAAAAAGACGTCATTCGAAGTAAGTATGCAAGTGTAAATCAATGAAGAATTATTATCATGTTCCATTATTGTCAGTAATTTTTTTAATTCGATTATTTTAAACATACTAATTTGTTTAAACAAAGGAAAAACTCAATCTGCGTTAAACAAAAATGGTAACACTATGTTGACAAGCTATATTTTCAAAAGTGACATTTGGTCGAGATTATTTTTCTTGTTGTTATGTAAATGGTATTAGCCAGTTTTAAATTTATTAATCCTAAAATGTAAATCCTGCAGATCATACATTTGAACTATAACAGACCTGTTTACTCTTACGATTTTGGCGTACAATGTACGATTTTGAGGTGTATACATTATATATGCAGCACGCCTTTGCTCTATAAAGAGAATGTATTGACCGATTATATGATGATATTGTACGATTTTAAGGGTTTGAGGGTAAACAGGTCTGCTATAATATCTTATTGTAGCAATAAAGTGAACATTCCTGAGATATGATAAATTTAAGCAGGCAAATGCATATTCTAATATCCCAACAAAGACATTACACACATTATTTAGAAGATGAGTCTTTTATAATTTTTTTAAAATGAAGGAGCTTAATTTTATCAGTTGCTTGACAAGCATTTGTATTTTTTTTAGAATATTATTCAAGATGTTACAATTATGGATTAATTTAGAATTTTTGTATGAATAGCTAGTGACATTTTCTAACCACACAAGTTTAGACTGCCATCGGATCAAATAAATATAGGAAAGCAAATATTAATAGGTTGGGTTAGGAGGTGCAAGTAATTCAGACAAGAGATTTCAGTCCTGGTTTAATACCAGATACTTCAGTAAGTAGCCAGGACCCTTAAAGCACTGGCTCCTAATCCTAAAATACCCATGCACATGTGGAAAATTTCAATAAACTGACACCCAAACTCACATGATTATAAAGTTAAATAATTTGTATTTGTGAAAATCTAAATTTCTCTGTTAGTAGTTAATAACTGTTAGAAAATGTATCTCTGGGAGAAAATTATCTTAGCAACGGTATAGAATAGCACAGTAGAAGGTCATTTTTACACCCCTGATTTATCATAAAACCAGGTATAGTACTAGGGGTAGACTTTGTGTTTATTTTATTCCCAAAGTGCACTTAATAGTTGAAGCCAATAGATAATCACTATCATTGTCTATTTGCTTTATAATAAACATTTTTAAAAACAGGACAATAATCCTTGAATCATTTATATCATTATCAACATGCTCTGTTTTAAGTCCTATAGAATAGCAATTTTGAATTTTCATCACCTTTCTTCAACTCAAAACATTACTAAAACAACCAAAACATTGCATCATGGATGCTGCCATTACTTTGATCTTTCGCAAGTCACGTGGTAAACCCTGAACTCGGCATTTACAATACATTTTCATATACCGGGTACCGTCTATCTAGGGTTAGATATGGGAGAATGAAATATTGGTCCGGTGTGGGGCGAATTTTTTAACACTTGGACTGATAAAGCGAGATCCTGGGTTCAAAGGGTTAATCATATACGGTAGTTTTCATTAATTTTAATCTGTTTTGTTTTTAAAATATATCTTATGAATCTACTTGTGTTACAGGGAAGAGGATGAAGGGAGTGATGTCAAGAAACCAAAGTCTGAAAAAAATTCAGCTAATGGTGTTACAGCGGCAGCAACATCAGCAGCAGCTGTCTCCACCCCAAAAAGGTACATTTATTTGGCTGATCAAATCAGTTTTCTCCAATCTTTTCATATTTAGGATTTATCCCAATTAGCGTTTTCCATAAGATTATATACTTTTTCTAAACCCTAATTGCACAAGCATTAAGATACTTTTCACGCTTCCCAACATTTAAACTTGTAAATTCTCATCAACTTGATAAATAGTTGAATTTTATTGATAAAAGTCAAGTCTGGCAGGATTTACTTTTTAATTTTCAATGTAAACAGCTTTTTACACATTTTACATCTCTTCATTAGCACGGGTAGCACTATTTCTGAGGCTGGTTTGGATACAGCGACCTCTGAAAATGTCATACTTATCACTCAACTCAGAGAGCAGATTGAGAGCCTTAAAAAACAGATGTCAGGCAAAGATCAGCAGCTCTTGGAGAAAGATAAAAAAGTCAGTTCTTTTTACTGTTAGATCGATTTTAAAAATGGGATTCTTTGTGTTTAACCTTACGCATAACTATTTTACTGAAGTACAATGCAAGAAGTCATTGTTATGATAGAACTAATACATTTCAAGATTTGTTTGGGATAAATTTTCTTATTGTACAGAATAATTTACAATAAAAAAAATGTTGATTTTAGCAATTATTGATTTAATTCTTGATACAGCTCTGTCTGTTCATACTTTATTAGTTCCGCGATCAACATTTTCCATATTTAGATTACAGAACTCAAAGCTCAAATGTATGAAAGTGACAAAGAATTCCGGTCAAAAGTCCAGGCAATGCAGAGAGGACATGCTACAGCTATTGAGGCTCTACAGGTTTGTCAGCACTTTAAAAAGTAGTATTGTATTCATGGTTAGGAGACGTGCTAATAATTTTTATAATCTAAACAAATTTCCTTTTAGTCTAAAATATTTTAAAAATTTCTCCCTAATCTAGTACAGCAGTTTAAACAACTTTTTCTGTCTATGGTATACTTGGATCTGATGTATTACATGCATAACTTTTGTTAGGTAGTTCTAACTTGGCTACTTTTAATCACTGTGTAGAAATTGGGCAATGTTTGTTATCTGCTTTTTATGCCTGCCACATCTTTTGGGTTCCTTTGAAAGCTCTTCATCTCACGTCTTCTTTGGTTTCACTTTTCCTTTAGTTACATCAGGTGTTTTTTAATCTTAGTTATGTGCTGCTGTGGTAGATTAGGATGTACCCTGCCTACTAGTACTCCTTCTGTTCCCCACTAACTTTGTCAGTTACATTGATGGCACATGTCAGGGCTGTTTTCTTCATGGTCTTCCACATCTCACAGGCAGTTGGGTTGCAGGTGGAGTTTTACCATTACATGTTTTATTTGTACTGGGTATGCAGCATTTGAAATATATATGTAGAATTCCCAACTCTACTTCATACATTTATTTTAAGGTCTCGGGTTTTGGAGATTTTACTGCCAAGAAAATGTTTCAACACTTCTAATTTTAGTTTTGTCCTAGCTGATCCTAAGACCTACATGAAACCAGCTTCCTATTCTATTCTTAATGAACACTTTTTGTTACATTTTGTCTAAAAAAAATTTATTTTTAACAGATCAAGAATAGAGAGCTGACAAGGCAGGTCTCTTCACTGACCAAGAGCAAGAAATCTGTAGAGACTTCATCTCTCAAATTAAATTCTGATCCTTAGCCAGATTTATGAAGTTTTGATTTGAAACAAATTAATTTGACACGTTAAAGTGTTATGTATAATCTTGGATTTTTAAAAAAAAATTGGTGTCATCTTTTGCAACAATGGTTTATATTTTTAAAATCCCACTATATTTACAAATCATGATGCCCTTTTAAAAACTTGTTTAACCCTTTATTTAAATTTTTAAAAAAATTCCAAGGTAATTCAGAGAATTGATTTTAATCGCTTTTGGATGTCATTGAGTGATCCATTCAAATGACCCAGGTTTTATATCAGTTGTATCATAAGCATGTCAATATTCATTACAAAGAATTACTTGACTTCTGGTGACACACTTTTGAAAATTATGCCTAATGCATCTTTTCTTTGATATCATTTATGTTCAGTTAAGTCACTGAAATGCAGAATCACTGAAGAGCTTTAATAGTTATGAATGCCAATGATTAATAATTATAATTGTAAACGGAGGTAGAGATTAGTAATGGGGGTAAATATTGTTTTGAAAAATGTTTACTCACAGGAATGGTTTGTTTTTAAACAAGTTTCTCCTGTATGCCGTGAGCATTATTAAAATGTTGGTTTATTTAATGATGCTGAGTCACCCTGCGGATTACTTGTTGCAAACAAAAAAATTTAAACTTAAAGATAACTTGAGTTAAATATGGTTAGACAGGTCTATAGATCATTAGGACATGTTGAAAATAATTTTTTAAAACCGTGTATATTTTTTAAAAATACTAGGCCAACTGTATTATATCTCTCGTATCATATTTTATAATGTGGATTTGTTTAGAATATTGGATGAGAGAGGAATAACAGTACCGGTACCATTTTGAAGTCAGTTCAAATAACATGTGAACAGCACTTTATGTGAAATATGAAAATTGTGTATTCATATAATTTGCATGATTCGATTTGTGGTAGTGGTGATTTTACACCCATTTTAGTTAGTCTATCTGATCGACAGGAACATTTTGCATGGTTTAATCGCGTGACCTGTAAATTATATAAAATTCCAATTCTCAAATCCAAGATCTGGTGTTTTTTTTTCTTCAATAAAATATTTTGCCAATTCTGTCAACAATTTAAATTAAAGAAGACCTAAAATTGTTTCATGCTTCTCTTAACTTGAAATTTTCCATAGAACTGCAACAAACATAAATCTTTAAGATCTAGAGGTCACTATTTCTGTTATGTGTTGTATCAAGATTTCTTCAAAATCAAAACATTTTTTTAAAAACAATTTTTATCTTTTGTAATTATTATCATTCCTTGTTCTGTTTGCTCCTTGTTATATAAATAGCTACGTAGTCCATATGATTATTGTCAAAATTATCTAGATAATTATGTATTACTTACAGCATCTGCTGTTAGCCAAGTCAAGAGTTAGTCTAGCTTTAGAGTTAACTTTTGGCAATTTTTTTAAAACCTTGGGTATGATATACTTCTTTGTTAGAATAAAATTAAATAAATTTACTATAATTCCATGAAAACCTTATATTTTAATTAAATTTGAGTCTGAATGAATTTTAATTAAGATAAACATTGTGCTGGAGGACTTCCTCAATCTTACTTTAAAATGTTTGTTTGTTAAAAGGTTCCATGTGTAATTTTAAATGATTTTAATTTGTTATTTGTCCAATAGATAACCACCTATACAATTTGATCATCTTAATGTGATTGCATCTATGAGGATTCTTTTCATAAAATTGTGTAGCTCTTAACCTCCGAACAGTTGATCTTTTAATTTCAATTATGTTACTGTGAGTTTGATTGCTTTGTTTGTCACTTATTCAAATGTGTGAATGGCGATTGCTAGCTTCACTTTCAACATATCTCAGACATTGCATTTACACCTTAGTAGGAGGTTCATGTTATTTTAAATCAATTTTTATCTTCATAAATGTCATGTATGCTGAGTAGCAACACCTTTGTGTGGTCATTCAATGTTTCTTGTGTTAGAATTAAGTTCTTAAGATTCCATGACCTCCAAATGGCTGTACTGTGTTAATGATTCTCCCTTAAGTCATGTTTCCCTGCCTCACATGTCTAGTACTGTTAAATAGATATCTAAAGGTCATCTGTTTTTACAAATAGAAAACTTTCAAAATCTTCTCTATAATGTGATTTTTATATAAGCTACATTCAGAAGTGAAAGTTACAATGAATAAATTTCTTTTTATCCACTATGTTTTCAGTATATGCGATGAAAAGTGGTTGATCATTTTAATACACATATTTTTAAATTTCCTCTAAGAGATGACACATTTTCATTTTTTTAGGATTTTAACACCATTGCAAACATTATTTACTTAAATGATACATATGCTCTACACATTTTAACTCGCCAGATTATATAATTTTGTAACAATTAAATGAATGGCCAGTTTCGTCACACCTTATACTGACTTAAAAACATTCATCTAAGAAACTTAGGAATGAAGTACCGGTAGAGAAAACCTGTTTTAATAATGTTAAATGACTTTCATTATTTTGTGCTGTATTTCCACCCATGAGGGTCATCAAAAAAAATATTTTCATTTTATCTCCTGCTGATCAATAATTTTTCCTGAAAAATTAACACCCTAAATTTTTGCTAAATTTAATTTTTTTTTGTTCATCTCTCCTTTAAAAAAAACAACACTTTCATGCTGTATTATTAATAATAGTATTCTTTATTTCCATAAAGTAGTTATGTTTGTTGTGGTTGATTCTTTAAACAGTAAATACCGGTACCTAATTGTAATGTGCAGAAAGAATAAAGTAAGAATAAGATATTTCTTTTAGCTTTGAGAATTTATTATTTTTTCCCCTATTTTTAATTCAGTATAATCATGATTTTCCTTATACTATGTAATTTTGTGGTGGTGTACTTCTATTATGTACAGATAGAAGTTTTTCTTGAGTTATAAAAAAATAATTGTAAAATAAACATACAAATTAGACATGTGCAGCTAGCTACAAGTTTAGTTACTGTTATTTTACCAAAATATAAAAATATTTTTCATTCTTGATATTTCATCCATTATCTATGCTTGATTGCTCTTTTTTAAATAGTATTTTCCTCTTCTTCACATATGACTTCTGTTCAAAATTGCTGTTGTATAATGTAAAAAAAATTTTGATTTTACACCTGTGATTTCAAATTCTCTTTTTTAAAACTTTTTTTTTTTTTTACCTCACTCTCATTAACATTTTTCAGTATGATTATGAATAACTTTAATCTTAAATACATATTTTTTTTACCAATTATATTGTTTAAGAAGAGTAATATTTTTAAAGTGGCAGATGTATAATAGCAAATTTTATTCTCACAGTTTCAACAAATTGTTATAACTGTTCAATACACACACAGTACAAGTGAATCTAAGGATGAGAGCCTTTGATGAGTTGCAATATTTGTTCACAACACATTTGAACAGCATTGTGTTTTCTAATTTATAAAAGCTGGTAGAAATAATATTGATCACAACACACATTATTACACATGATGGAACCAATGTTACCTAAGAAAAGTTTGAATGAATGTGATTCTGGCTGTCATATTTGTATTTTGATGTTTTTCATAATCATTGCACTGTAAATCAATGTTATTTGTACTTTAAAAAATGTTTCCATAAAAAAAAATGTGGAAAAAAAAAATTCCCAATTTTTAATTTTAGACAGAATCTCTTTTTGTATGACTGTAAGTAAGCCATGTTATATAGAACTGCAATGACTTCTTATTGTACATAGATCAAACCAGGGGTAATTTTGAGTCACTATACTTGTTGAAAAACACCATGTGGAGGAGGTGGGGGGGGTATTGATTAGTGGAACTGAATAAATTGTAGCAATGTTATGCATGCAAGCAGTCTGTGCATGTGACAATTGTTGAAAGTCTGTAGTTGGTGCAATAAAAGACATAGTTAAAGGTAGTTTTAGTTCCATGATTTCTTTTATGTGTTACATTGTAGTTAAAATGTCTGTGTTTAAATATATTGCCTTAAAAAGAAAAGCTTTCCTCTCTCTTACCTTAAAACAATAAAAAAAATATTTGACATGCCAAAAACATGGTCATACATAAAAACAAGTAGACAGATTGCTAATAAATACAGTCGTCCCTTGTTCATCACGGTTAGTCAGTTCAGGACTCGACAGCGGTAAGTGAATTTCCGCGAAGTAGGATTCTTAATTTTAAATTTAATATTTTTGTAGAGCATAGAAAATCTGTTCACAACCCTCTAAATACGGTTTTAAACATTATTAGCACTTTTGGAGGATGAATAAATCTGCCTACAGTACATACGTACAGTAATATTAATTGAAATGAAGGTGAGAATAACTGACTCAGACAACCGAGTGCACGCTGTATCATTTTCACTATCTGAATACATTTGAAGAAAATGCAATAGAGTGAAGCCACAAGAGTTGAAGCGCAAAGTGACAAGGATGTCTGTATTAAACTTTCCTGTGCATTAAGAGAATATCTATTTCTAACAAACAAATAAGTATTTTATTACGTGTAAGATTAAGCTGAGTTAGAACAAATCAGGTGGAATTAGTCAAGGCGGTGTTAAAAAAGATGCTGCTAGACATTAAGATAAATTTTTTTTTACAACAATCTGTATATTTTTAATTCATTTATCAACATAAAATTTCATGTACTTAATTGGTACATATCCATCTTATCTGGTAACCCAGGTTACATTAATTTACAGGTTAATTCTATAACTATAAGACACTCAAGTTAAAAAACAAATTACGTAAATTAAAGTTATCCTCAAAACTAAAACAATAAACATTACGAGTCTTTCAAGTTATCTATAACTATTTTCCCTCTTAAGTGACCATTTGAAACTGTCCTAAAGCCATCAGGAACTTTTGAAAAGGGAATCGTTTCTTGCACTACTGGTTTTATCTAAAGAGAAGGGAAAAATAGACAAAGAAAAAAATATTTGGTTAAAATGGTTAAGGTAAATATCAGTTCCAATAACTGGTACAAATTCTGGAGACTAGTTTCTGGGCATTGTTTCTCTCTTATTTTCAATACCGTACCTAGCAAACTGAAACGATTTTTTTTCTGGGCTTAACTCTAGTTAAAATGTTATTTATTTGCTTTTGTACCACTAACACCAATGGCTCATTTAACTGGAATCCACTGTATAAATAAGCAAATCAGCATATGAGATGTGAATGTTATATATCAAATTTAGTTTGAACTCATGTCACCCATCATCAAATGTAGCGACTTTTCACTTTGACTCCCCCACCCTCCCCCTAAAACAAAAAAACATCCTTGGAGGTATTGTACAAACCTAGGATACTAGGATGGACAGTGAGTAAAAGGTCTTAATCTGTACGTTAAAGTCACTGCAGACCTCGCACCTGGACTTCCCCTTTAAGGCCAAACCAAAGTGGTATAACCTAGTTACAAGTGGAAATAACATTTTGTATCCCACCCCTTCCCCACCATCAGGGTTGATTTTCTTTTGCTTTAAATAAAAAGCACACGGCTCTCTGGGACATGGTGGTGACTCTCTGGGACATGGTGGTGACGTATAGAGGTTTGGTATAAAATATATTATTTATAAGCAAAATAGTATAAACTATTTTCCTTGGATTTGTTAGGATGCAAAACCACCGCAAGGCATTAAAAAAAAAGATATCATATCACGCTCTTATTTATTATCTCCCTTAAGTAGGTGAGTTAAGTCCCTTGAATAAGTAGTTTGCTCCCGTGGTATTTTGTCTTAGGGGATATACTATGTAAAAAAAATAATTTAACATTCCGTTTCACAAATAAGTTTCTGTATTAAGACTTTGTAATAATATATCTTGCTAATATTTCTCATTATAAATACAGATTTCGTAAATAAATACAATTTATTTGTAAAAAAATAAACAGGGCTAAACAATATCCTTGAACCATATTTTATTGCCTCATTGGTAATGACCTAGTCAGGTGAAACCTGATTACCCTCATGCCTTAAACTAATGAGTAAGGAAAATAACGAGCCTGGGTGACTACAGGCTCCCAGACAAATCCGTTCTGGAAGAATTTCTACAGGGGCTCAGGTCGCCCCCTGGTGACCCTCTACTTCAGGGATGCCAGGGTTGAGTGATCTGCCCTCACAACATTAAAATAAATGACTGGGAGCTGATCACTATCCAATCCCACTTGGAAATATTTTTTTTTTTGTTACATATACCTTTTTAGAGCATAACACTTACATTTTACAAATTGAACACAAGTCATTCAAAGCATTTCTCTAACCTAGATTGGGCCACCAATAATCTCTATAGCGATTTGGTAATTAATTGTATATTGTACATTTCCTATTTTTAAAATATTTATATTAAATTCATGGCATCCTGAACTTCAAATTTATTTCTAATTTGCATGAGTTTACTGCTGTGATAAGATATATACACATGGAAAGGAAGGATGATGAAGCAGTTTACAAAAATTAAACCTTTTCAACCATTCTTAAAATTTGAATCACTGAATAAACTATATTTTAAAGATTTTCCCACACTTTATGTCACTCATTTCTTGTCACTAAACTAAGCTGCTGAAAATCCACAAAACTTTCAACCATCCTCAATCTTACCTTGCCCTATTCTTGTTCCAGAGTAATAAGGCATCAAAACTTATTTAAAACAAGCAAGAAACCTAAAACCTCAAAGAGTTTTTGAGTGCTAAAAAAGTAAACAATATTCGTACACAGGATTATGAAAATAAATTAATTTTTTCAAAGAAAATGTTATGTTTACATATCAATAAAATGACTTTTTTCCTTTGATAAAGACATTGTTGCTGCTGTGTACAATTCTTAGGGTGTTTTCACTTTGACTATTTAAATAAACAAATACTTATTTAAAGATAAGAAGGTGAAAAACTATTAATCAATATTTATCAATACCTGTTCAGCTTCAACCATTTGTTTAACTTTTTCCATGGCTGCTCCATTAGGAAGAAAGAAAGCCCATCTCACACTACCACCTGATTTTAAACCCTGACATTAAAAAAATATATTTTATATGTAACTTTCTAAACTTTCCTATCCTGTATAAATTAAATGGAAGAGTAGTAATTGGAACTACAGTATTTACAAAAAAATGTTTTAATTAATTATGTCTCTTTAAGAATAATAATGTAAATTTTATGTGATAAAAACAGTTGGTTGCATTTATAATTTAATACTGATTTAAATATATTACAATTTTAAATGAACCACATAAAAAAATGTTAATTCAAAAATTTATTTTGTTTGTATGATTTTACTCTCTATATGAATCAATGCTGGTGCTTACTAATCTAAAAATACTCTCAGAAGTAGCTTGAAATATTTTCATAAAATAACCAATTTACTTTGAATTGAAAGGTTAAAAATGATTGTTACTGGCATACTTAATCACCATGGAACCTCAGATAAAAAACTTAATCTGTTCCTTGACAATGCTCTTTAACCGAAACGTTCACTGACAGAAATAATTTTTCCTATGAAATCAATGTAAACTGAATTAAAATCCAGATTTAGAAATATGGCATTTTTACATTTTGTTAATAAAATTTAACTATTATTAATAATAGGCACATACCGGTAACACAAAAATAAATAAGACAATACTGCCATTATCAAGTTTTAATATTATTTCTTTCTTCTACTTCCACACCAACCCAATTCCTATTAATAACACTTTTATTGCAACAAACAGTAACAACCCATAAAACAGTGGGATTGTTTGTGGTTATATATTCTTAAGTTCGTTAACCTAATAATTGGTTAACCGAGACCAAAATTGTTTACAAAACTTGTTTTTTAACCAATTTGTTCATTATCCAAGGTTCTACTGTATATGTATCTAATGGTATAGGTATAGGACAGTTGGGACTATTTTAGATGTTTTCTTTTTTTTTGATAAAGAAAAGATGCATTTTTATCTTAATAAAATGTTTAGAAAAATATATCTTTTCCACTATGATTCATGTCTTTTTTGTGTGTAACATTTTATTTACAGAAAATAGGATCACCAACTATTGCTTCAAAACTAAATAAAGTCAGTGATATGCTCATCAACAACACATGTCTAAGTGTTATGCTAATAAAAAGCACACGCTTATTGTT